TAACATTCAAACACAGTTGACAACAAAAAAATGCATAATTAAAACTTCCTTGAAAATTGCACACAAGATTTTTTTCTTCTTCAACCTTTTACTGGACTACCACTTTTTTTTTCGAGCATCCAAAAATTATATATTTATAATGCAGTGAAAAGAGCTTTTATTTTTGTCTCTTACTTTAAATAGTGCAGTGTATATTAAATCCCTGTCACTTTTTTTTCGAGCATCCAAAAATAGTGCAATGTATATTAAATCCTTGTCACTAAATTTTTTTTGAGCATCCAAAAATCATATATTTAAATAGTGCAGTGTATATAATAAAGCCCTGTCACTTTTTTTTTGAGCATCTAAAAATTATATATCATTCATAATACAGTGAAAAGAGCTTTACGTACATATTAAATCCCTTAAGTGTAATGCTGATCCAGAGACAAGAAATATAAGTTTCATAACATTACACAGTGGAGCACTGACCTATTAACTTAACACATTTTATGAATTGATTCAGTTAACTCTAACATCAGGCAGTGAACTATGTTTACCTATTCACTCACTCTAATATAACAGTACTCTCTCCTTTCTTTTTTCCCTCTCTCTCCGCTTTTTATTTGAACAAGTGTTTTCCTGGCCTATGTTCACCCTTTTACCTTTCATTCATTCAAGTCATAAGCGGTTCAATCCCTTATCTCTTGTTTACAGCACACTTGTTGTATATTTAGAGATATCTTGTACTTAAATACACACATCAGAAAAAAAAGGTAAGAGGAAATTAGTTGACAAATATTCACTCAAAAGTCAAATGTACCAGGAATGTTTAAACAAAATTGTAGGTCACACATTCAAAGTTCATCATAAGGTAATATAGTTCCCCCACTATAACATGACTAAATTGTAATAACTAAGACTAATATGAGTTAAAAAAACTTCAAGTTTAATGTGAGGTTATATACAAAAGAAGTTCACAATCTAATGTAAGTTCAATATATCACCAAATGATCTAATAACTGTCCAACATTGAGCTGAAATAGCACCAAGTCCAACAGAGCTCCTAGTCCAACATGAGCTTATATCGCTTCCAGTCAAACATGAGTTTATATAGCTTCCAGTTTAACATTAACTTAACAGCTCCCAGGCCAACATGAGCTTAAATAACTCCTTAGTCCAACATGAGCTTATATAGCTTACAGTCAAACATGAGCTTATATAGCTCCCAGTCAAACATGAGCTTATGTAGCCCCCAGGCAAACATGAGCTAGTAGTATTCTTCCAGTCCAACATGAGCTTAAATAGCTCAAAGGCCAACATGAGCTTAAATAGCTCCCAAGCCAACATGAGCTTAAATAGCTCCCAAGCCAACATGAGCTTAAATAGCTCCCAGTCCAAAATGAACTTAAATAGACCCCAGTCAATCATGAGCTTATATAGCTCCCAGTCCATCATGAACTTAAAAAGACCACAGTCCAACATGAGCTTATATAGTGAGCTTAAATAGCTCCCAGTCCAACATGAGCTTATATAGCTCCCAGACCAACATGAGCTTATATGGCTCAAATGCCAACATGAGCTTAAATAGCTACCAGACCAACATGAGCTTATAAAGCTCATAGTTTAACATGAGCTTATAAAGCTCCCAGGCCAACATGAGCTTAAATAGCTCCCAGACCAACATGAGCTTATATAGCTCCCAGACCAACATGAGCTTATATATGACTCCCAGTCCAACATGGCCTTATATAGCTTATCTGCACTGTCCAATATATCCAGTCAATAGATTTTGAATGTTTTCTTAAAAATGATGAATGACTTTCTGATTAGAAAGAGATTTAGTTGAAATTTCAAAAAATTACATAATGTATATGTAATAATTATGCTAATTTTATTTCTAAAGGAAATAAATCCTTTTAAGTTAATTCAAATAATAAATGTGTCCTGTTTTTATTAATTTTTTTATTGTTTTTTTTTATTGTTTTGCAAGACAACTTCCTTTCTAAAAGGAGGAAATATCCATTGGAAATAAATAGCTTCTGTTAACAAATATATCACTATGTATTGTTTGGCATGTACACGCAACAGTATTTTTGCTCTGGTTCTTTGTCATCAATTTTGTTATTGATGTTCGCTGACCTTTTGAACTTTATTTCGAGACTCACTGTGAGGCTAATATTAACCATTTAATTTTCATCTCACAGCAGCATACTTCTTCAATTCAATTAGAAATACCAATATAGTTATAAATATCTTATTCGAACATAAACTTTATTGAAACATCTCTGGAATATGAACAATATTGCTACAACTGCAGAAAATACATCATCCAATTACCATAGCTAGTCTATCTACAGAGATAAGTTATCCAATCATACTGGTCACTAACCCAATAATATAACACTCCATACCACACAGGTCATTCACCTTTGTGACCTTATATATTTGCAGTCAACATTTTTATTTCTAACCTTGTGACAATCATGAAAATGTGTTGCAAACTGCAAAAGCCCCCCTTCGTTATTCTCCCTCCAATTTACCCCTCAAACATAATATGAACTTGCATAAGTGCTGCAAACTGCAAAGCCCCCTCCCTCCATTATCCTCTCCTCATTTCCCCCCTCAACCATAATACAAACAAACTTGACATACTTATGTGCTGCAAACTGCAAAGCTCCCCCCATTTTCCCCCTCAACCATAATACAAACAAACTTGACATACTTGTTAAAATATATCTGTAAATTCTAACACCAATCATGAAAATCTCGCAAACTCCAAAGCCACACTCCCGACTCAATTATCCTCCCCCCACACCTCTTTCCCTCCTGAACCATATTACAAACAAACTTTGACATACTAGTTAAAATAAAATCCACAAATTTTAACACCAATTCCTTAACCCACTTAATACTCGGGTTCACCGATTAATATGATACCCACTTACATTCTGTAATGTAACAATTAAAATGCAAAATGTAATAATTAAATAACTCATAATGGTATGACTAAATAATGTAAACAATTTATTGCGTTTGACTTATACGCCCATAACTTTCAATGAGTACCAAACAATTTTACATGTATATAAGATTATTGTTGAATACTTACTTTAATACTTTCATTATTAACTATGCTATTTCTCGCCAAAGCAATACTGTATCAAACAACTGCCAAATAGCAGATAGTATAGAAAATGATAAGACAATGTATAGTTATTGATTGAAGGAAGTGGTAATGAAAGTAATCATACACATAGGGTATCAATCATGACTGTTAACATAGTTAATTTAAAACTACATTAAATACATAATCAATTTATCAAGTCATTAACCCTACCAACACTAAATATCTTAAATAGACTTGTCCATTTTTCCAATCTGGACAAAACCATTCCTCATTTTTAGAGTGATTATGTATGTGTCTGTGTGTCTGGTTTTCAGACTGATTTTATCACATTTTTTGGTTATACCTTGGAGGTCAATGCACCTTAAATCTGTTATCCTGGATAATTTATCAATAATGACATGCACCAATGAATAATGCTCCGCAAGTGACTGGCTACTATTCATCATATGTGTGGTCAGATAATGTGTCTGCACAATTCGCTATTCAGTCAGGACATATTTTGAAATTTCCCTAAAATGAGGAATGGTCTTGTCAAGAAGTCTATTTTAGATATTTAGTGTGGTAAGGGAAATATACATACACCACACACACAGTTAATAGAATAATGCTTTTTGTTGCTATGGCAATTTTCCTGTAAAGGTTTGACTCTATGTGTTCTGTCCATCTTTGCATAATCAAAGTCACCTATGGTGAACGTAAGGGCCAATGACATAATTTACTAATAAACATGAAACAGGTTATTATCAGAAGATGACATACATGTAATAATTAAACCTGGAATTGACTTAAAAGAACTGCTTAGGGGTTAAGCTGATCAAAGGGATTTTATTACACAGTTAAACTATTACTGAGCTTTGAGTGCTATATGTTTATAAAGGGCTATGAGGTAAGTTGATGCAGTGACCCCATGTGTCAAGTATGTGTAACTTACCCCCTTAGTTGATGTGGTGCATCAACCAAGTTGGTGTAACTAAGCCCCTTAGTCAAGTTGGTATGTCAAAATTTAGAATAAGAAATGATTGAATTTTTGTCTTCTATATCATTGTCTTCAAAACTGTTCATGCGAAATTTTGATCATCAAACAGAGAAAATTTTCATGTCATGAAATGATGTTATTTTTAGAAAAATTAGTCAAAGCAACAGAATTTAATATCATATTTATAGAACATAATGACTTTTGAATAATTTATGGTACCAAGAGAAGGAAAACTTAATTTCAAAGTATGACTTGCGAAAAGGTCGAAATAGTCTGTACACAGTACAGTAACTAGTAAAGAGATCGAAAACAAGAGCTACCATAAAGGGGGAGCCAAGCTAGAGTTTTTCTTATTTATAAAGGCAAGTGCATCTAAGGAAGAACATTATAGTAAAAGATTCTGACTTCTTTAAGAAATCATCACTTTTTTAAACAAAATATAATTACATATATTGAAAATTTGAAGGGCAATGTCATAGTTACATTTCTGAATTATTCAAAAGTGTTGTTTTGTCGTAATATGAATCAAGTCTATAAATGAATATCAAAGTAAAGACAATTTTAACAAATTCAATGATTTGGCTTCCGATTCTTTTTTTTTTCAAATTCTTGGTCTCAAGTGTTGTGTTGTCTAAGTATAAATCTAAGTATGAAGACAATCCATTCATTAATAATCTGTAACAACTTACAACCAATTACAGCAACAGCAATGGGAATGACACTGTGACTATTTCTAATGCAATAGCTTGAAGTTTTTCTTCAAATAAGTCAAGCCAATTCCCCAATTAGGGCCATCAGTGATGTGAATTGTGTCGACGAAGGAGCAGTGATTCCTATATGCCGCCACTACTCCTAAGAGGCAACACAAAAATGCTGCATAAACAATGTTATATAAAGTGGACAAAGGGCACTTACTGTAGCTTGAAAGGGATCCCTGTAAATACTGCCATAACCTCCGGCGGCCACTGCTGCTGCTGCTAATCCATATCTCGGGTCTTGATAAAATGCTGGCCCAGGTCGCATTTGAGCCCCAGATGGACTCTGAGGTCGCGACCTCTTGTATGGGGAGGATCCTTCATGTTGGGATCCACCTGGGCCACTGAAATACAAAAAGAAACAAAACATTAATATAAGCAGTCTTAAAGTTTGCAAAGTCCAAAAACTGAAAGCAATTTAGACTAATTCTTCACTAAGAAATATGTGAAGAAAGTTACAGATCAATTGAATAACACAATGTTAATGATTTTGACAAATGAACAAAAAGACCAAACATAAATCTTTAGAGAGGGAATCTTTATCATTCCCTATACTGTCATAGCAGCCGAGTCAATGCTGAGTGACAAGGCCATACAAATCACCATATCACCTAGTTATTAAGTACTGTACATCTTAAATCTTTGAAGTTCTCTGAACATAACATTTTTGGTTTTCTTTTCACATTTTGTCACCTTAGTGCAATAACTGAATAACTGCTATTAAATTTAGAAGCACTTATTACATTACTGTACTAAGTTGACAATTTTATTTTATTATTTTTTTTATATTAATTCATTTATTTCAATCATTTTCATATACAATGTAGATAATTCCATAACTCCCACATTTTACAATATCTTATCACTCTTTTATAATCTTGCATGATGAATTTTAAATTTGTTAGTGCATTTATGGGTTGAAGACCTTCTTAATTTATAGGAGTTAACCAGTTATTGCACTAAGATGACAAATTGTAAACTGTAATGTTAATGGCAAGATACGCACTTGCTTCAAAGTGGCCTTTCAAAAAAATTTTTTTTTTCCTTCCGCACTTTCTATATTTCTGGATGCCTATTTTTATAAATTAATGCAACAAAAGACGAAATCCAGATCTGTAAACTTAAATATTACATACAAAGAAAATAATACAATATTAAAACAACGGCACAAAACAAAAATTACTCTATAAATACCTGTGTATTATATTTTTCCGAAAATACCAATTGCGTGACTGTTTGAAATTTAAAGAGTCGTAATAATTTCTATAATAACTCATAATTTTCTCTATAGATCTATATTATACATGTACAAACATGTGCACTCACTTTTGACAATGCAATATGAATGTGCTGTTGTTTTTTCTGTCATCGCACCTATAGATTTTTCGAAATGAGGATTTAGTTGAATATTTTAGTAAACTAATCTGTTATACGGGGATTATTGATGTTTCTCCACGGTTACATTAGACACCAAATTAGCCTCCTCTGATATTATGCTCATAGTAATGTAATTATTAATTATGATTTACAAATCTTTTGTTCCTAACATAGAAATATTAATTTAAACCAGCTTAGATAACGCATCAGCCCTTCCCTGTTGAAGATTAATGTCATGGACTAATGTTTTAAAGGCCCATAATGCCTCAGAAATCATGGTTTTATTTCTCAAAAGATAGTCATGTTAGGTTATTTATTATATTTATATAGTAAACACAAAACATGACTCATTGACCAATATACCTGAACCTTCTTTTGCTTCTGTTGCTTTTTGTCAATTAGACTGATGAAAGCCAAAATACTACTGTACTTTGTTAACATTTTTTAAGCACTTTTTACAGGTAATGAGCATATTACGTACATGCTCTAAAACCATTGTTCAAATGTTATACACTCACATGATTGAAAGAATTATTTGTTTCTGAGGCATTATGTGCCTTTAAAGACGTTTTCGGTAGTTTTCTGTGCGCATCCTTATGCGCTTCCAAGAAAGATAATCTCGGATAATTACTCTTCAAATGAAGGTGAAATTGAATAGTATTCGGATAAGTGTTTAAATTTCGGCTAGAAGCAAATAATGAGTAAATAATACAGAACAGAAATTTCTAAATGTTCAAAGAGAGATCGGTCCAAAAGAATAAGAGGTCGTTTAGACAACATCACATAAAGGATTTCTCCAAGCATAAGTACGACAGCATTGATGATAATTCTGCGCGCGTTACCCCACCCACTTGTGGTATAGTGACGAAAGTGCGTCGCGACTTGATTACTGGCAGACAACTGGGCAAAGAAGTTTAAAATGATATATTTTAAAAGTGTTGAATAAAAAAACAAAATTAATATCTAAGAAATGTTCCGAATTTCATTATTTTCTTTGTAAATTTCTGAATACTTGCTTACTGTTGGGGTATGTTAGTCGAATGAAAAAAATAATATTTTAAAAAGATATTCAGTATCAAAATTCATTTACTTAATATAACATCAAAAGAAAAAGAAATTTTTATTACAACATTTTTTTGTTGTATATTTGACAATACATTTAGTATAACACTGATATTTCTTAAGAAAGCGTGGTAATTTTGACAGTCGACATATGCGGTAACCATGGAAACTGCCCGTTTACAAAAAACTAGCACGTCAACATCTATATTTTATTTCTATTTTTGAATTCACCATCAAATGTTACTTGATATATCAATAATGTAGAAAATTCTATGAAAGAAATTTCTTGATAGCTTTAATTTTTACAGAATTCATGTTTATTTTTCTCATTTTTTGTTTAGTTATAAAGCATGAAAACTTCTTTTTTAAAGAAATATGTTCCAATTATCGTTTGTTTTATACAGAACCCTAAGATAAAGCAAGCTTTTTATAAAACTATGTTTATTGTGAGTGTAATAAGCTATTTTATACATAATTAAACACAGTTTGGCTATTTTGACAATTTTGAGATATACGGTTACCATGGAAACTGCCATTTTTCAAAAAAACCAACACGCCAACATATATTTTTCTTTTTCTATTTGAATTTGTCATTAAATTTTACACAACATACAAAAAAATTAGAAAATCCTATGAAATACTTTTTTCAATATCTCTAATTATTCTCAGAATTCATGTTTATTTTTCTCATTTTTTGTTCGGTTGAGGAACATGGAGAACTCATTTTTTAAAGAAATATGTTCAGATTATCGTTTGTTTCATACAGAATCATTAGATAAGATTGTCTTTGCATAAAACAATGCTCGTTGTGTGTTTTAACCTTTTCCCTTATATAAGCGTGTTTCGACGGCTTTTTGCCCCCCCCCCCCCCTTTGAGGCCTCAAACAGTGAAAAAATGCCCTATTTAGGCCCCCAACACTGTTTTTCGTTTTGAGAAATGTTGTTAAAAAAATTGACCATTTTTTCAGCGCCTTCCCCCATCCAAATATTACATCAGGGGGTTGCCAGAAGGGGATGTGCCCCTTCTGTTTGGGGGTTTGAAGGGGGGCGGAGTCCCCCTCATCGCCAAGAAAATTTTGGACTTGTGAGAGGCTTTAAATGACCCCAGGTCGATCATAAGATAACGTGTAACCAACGCTGAAAAGCCTTTGACTCTATCTCAATCCCTTGAGAAGTTGCAGCACTTTGAAATAAATTTTGATGGAAAAAATCGAGGCAAAAAAGTGATTTTTGGCAATTTTGAGATGTCCCCTCGTTGCCATGGTAACAGGAAATTTAAGACTGAGCATGTCGTTACAAAGGCAATGGTCCAGTCAACATTTGTGCCAAGTTTGATTAGTATTGAAGCATTTTTCATAGTTTCATAGCAGTTTGAACTTGTGAGAGGAGGCTTTTCAGTGAAAATGGCCATTTTTCACAATATGCTCATGGGGGAAAGGGTTAACTAAAAAAATAATAAATGTTACAAAACAATGATTTTTCACCAAAATTAGGTAAAAGACCAAATGTTAACATGGAAAAACTAGATTTTGGGTGGTTCCAAGGTTTTTCATCATTTTTTGTTAACCTTTTCCCTTATATAAGCGTGTTTCGACGGCTTTTTGCCCCCCCCCCCCCTTTGAGGCCTCAAACAGTGAAAAAATGCCCTATTTAGGCCCCCAACACTGTTTTTCGTTTGAGAAATGTTGTTAAAAAAATTGACCATTTTTTCAGCGCCTTCCCCCATCCAAATATTACATCAGGGGGTTGCCAGAAGGGGGATGTGCCCCCTTCTGTTTGGGGGGTTTGAAGGGGGGCGGAGTCCCCCTCATCGCCAAGAAAATTTTGGACTTGTGAGAGGCTTTAAATGACCCCAGGTCGATCATAAGATAACGTGTAACCAACGCTGAAAAGCCTTTGACTCTATCTCAATCCCTTGAGAAGTTGCAGCACTTTGAAATAAATTTTGATGGAAAAAATCGAGGCAAAAAAGTGATTTTTGGCAATTTTGAGATGTCCCCTCGTTGCCATGGTAACAGGAAATTTAAGACTGAGCATGTCGTTACAAAGGCAATGGTCCAGTCAACATTTGTGCCAAGTTTGATTAGTATTGAAGCATTTTTCATAGTTTCATAGCAGTTTGAACTTGTGAGAGGAGGCTTTTCAGTGAAAATGGCCATTTTTCACAATATGCTCATGGGGGAAAGGGTTAAGCTATCTTATACATTTTCTATTGGTTATAACACAGTTAGGCTATTTTGACAGTTTTTAGATATACGGTTACCATGGAAACTGCCATTTTACAAGAAATCCAACACGGCAACATATATTTTTCTTTTTATTTTTAAATTCGTCATTAGATTTTACTCATCATACAAAAAATCAAGAAAATTCTATGAAAGGATTAATTTTTCATAAAACTGTAGAAAATGTCTTTAAGCTATATGTAAATGTAAAAAAATATATTCCTATATCGAAATATACAATTTATACCACGTATTCAGATGGCTAGGGGGTTTTTGGTCAAAAGTATGTTATTGTTTTTTTTTTTAGTTTTTGTTGTTGTATTTTTCAAATTTCAAAGCGAAAAATTCTCCATTCAAGAAAATACAAAATGTAAATGAATAAATACAAGGATATGAATGAACCAAATATTTCATTTCTTAGCATTGCATTATATATATTGCATTTAATATTTGTATAAATTAACTCATCCAATTTTGCATTAAAATTCATGAAACATCCCATTCTCGAGTCTTATTACCAAAATGAAAAAAAAAACAACCAGGATTGCCAGCCCATATTTTTAAAAAATCTATCTCTATATTATACTGATGGCTTACGACTTTATGACATTATTATGCAAATACACGTATGAATGCTTGTGAATATGACTTTCAAACACCACCAGTTAAGAGACAGGCCTGGGCCTACACATCCATGCCATCTGACCAGGCAGTTGTGGGAGACTTGACATGTATTTCTTTTTTCTTTTTATTTTTGTTAGGTTTTACGTCACACCAAACACTGTATAGGTCATATTGACGACTTTCCAGTTTAACTGGTGAAAGAAGATGTCAGGTGCCCTTCCATGCATTATTTCAGGCATGAACGAGCACCTGAGTAGAACCACTGACATTCTAAAAGCTTAGCTGGATAGCTTTCTCACATAAAAGAGTCTATAGTCCCTGGTGGGATTTCAACCCACAGCAGTGACCTTCAAGTTGTTTGAAGTCAAAAGTCTTAACCACTCAGCAACAGATGCCGCTAGGGTTGCACATCTGATATACTTTTATCAATGGCTTCCATGAGCAACAAGTTAACACTCTTATTTATTCACATTCAGACAATAAGAAAATCAATAGTTACATTTGTACCTAGCATGTACTTAATTACATACAACAATAACAAAGGTAATACATAATTATCTCAATATTTGTCTGTTGAATACATACATTAATCAGAAAATATTCAATAATTAACTTCAATATATCCAAATCTTTATCTAATAAAGTTCAATTATTTGTCACATATACTACAGATTGCTCTAATTTGAATGGTAAAACAAGAGGGCCATGATCAAGCCATTGATTGCTCACCTGAGAGACATTGCTAGAAAAGGTTAAGAAAATTTAGAATTTTTTTTTTTTTATCAATATGAAAGTCTAAGTAATGTGGAAATATTGGGTTTTTTACCCAAGCTGCATATTTTCTAAAAATATTTGTACCTGTATATGACTACAAGATAAATATCTACTCTCTTGGCATTGTACATTGTAATTACAAGTAGACATAATTATATACTAGTACATGTTTTACTCTGTAAGTCTATATAAAGTAATCATTCTCATATAAGAAGGCATTATTTCCAGAACAACAGACTCTTTACCCTGATTACATGGCAACAGCAAGTGCCAGAAATCTTGGCAACATGATATAATTATAATCTCTCTTGAGTTTGCTGGATAGCTTCCTACATGAAAGAACTGAAGAGTCTGGGAAGACTAAAACCTATAGTTGTGAGGTGCAAATTATCTATTCTACAGTCAAAGAACTTATATGGAAATCACCCTGGCATCTTTTTTTGGCAATTGGCAAATCTTAACTGGACTCTCTCAAACCATAACTGGAATCTTTACTGGCTACCCTCAAATCTTAACTTGATTCTCTCAAACCATAACTGGAATCTTAACTGGCTACCCTCAAATCTTAACTGGATTCTCTCAAACCATAACTGGAATCTTAACTGGCTACCCTCAAATCTTAACTGGACTCTCTCAAACCATAACTGGAATCTTAACTGGCTAACCTTAAATCTTAATTGGATTCTCTCAACACATGCTCAAACCATAACTAGAATCTTAACTGGCTACCCTCAAATTTTAACTGGTTACCCTTAAATCTTAACTGGCTACTCTCGTATCTTAACTGGACTCTCTCAAACCATAATTGGAATCTTAACTGGCTAAGAAGTAACCTAATTTTTTGAAGTTTATAACCTCAGTGTGACCTTGGATATGGACCTACACTTGAAAGGGACAGTGGGACACATCTACTGACATGATAAACATTTTTGCCATGTAATTTCAAAATCCATCCAGGACTGTCAAATGTATAGTAAAGAAATGAGAAATAAACTTCTTAACTAAATTTAACTTATTAAGTGGTAAGAGATATTGAGGTTGGTTTTGTTATACATGCAATAATATCCTGAGCATCTAGCAATGATTTTGGATTTTTTTTTTTAAATGCGCTTATTTAAGGTTGCCGCCGGAAAGTCCATATGGGTGACCGTACACTCAAGTCGGGCCATCCTAGAGCGTCCGCCGAGATTTTTCGTTGATTTTTTCAAGCTTTATTGGTGGAGGGAGACCCCAGAAGCCCCTCCGGTCATTATTTCAGGCACGAGCGGGCACCTGGGTAGAACCACCGACCTTCCGTAAGCCAGCTGGATGGCTTCCTCACATGAAAGGTTTCGACCCGAATGAGGATAGAACCTACAGCTGTGAGGGACCCGTGATCTCAAGTCAGCGACCTTTTGGATCAATTAATTGATTGTTTATATATCCCCTGTAGCTTGCTGGACTAAGGTGTCAAAACTGTAATTAACAACTAGCCAGGATAAATACCATCAATCTTCAGGCATTCATTGATTCTATTTAGTGTAGTGCTAGAACATTATGAGCATTACTGCTGATTATGAAATGAAGTAATTTGGCTAATGTTTTTAGCTATTTTTACCAAAAGAAATGACCAATATGTCTGTACTTAACAGGTCTTTAATGCTTAGCTATTGCTAAACTGAAGGAGGGTTGTGTAGCTTGGCCATCTGCCTAACATTTCTATTTCACTTTATAAATCTGCAAAACATGTAACACAAATAGATACTGTGACAACATACTGTATTACTACAGCTCAGAGTTTAATTCACATTGCTCTGTTATCCTGAGAAATAATCGAGGATGAAAAAATCCTTTTAGCAGGGGAGTATGTCACAGTTCAGAACTGTTAAAATTTTTTGGTGAGGTGTTAAAGAGGCAGGATAGCTCAGTCGGTAGAGCAGCGGAATGGTTAATTATGAGGTTCCTGGTCAGGCTGTATAGTTTTCTCATACCGTGACATCTGGTGCCCAACGTGGGGACTGACACTGCATATAGCTCACAGTTTAATCCACATTGCTCTGTAACATTGAAAAATTCAAGGATGGATATCATGAAAGCGGGGGAGTATCATCATTATGTCACGGTTCGGAACTGTTTAACTATTTAGAGGTTTGAACCAGCCAAATTGTTCAGTCCAACAGTCGCTAGAGCCGTGGAATGGTATTTTGAGAGTCCAGGTTTCGAGTTCCGGTCAGGCTGCACAGTTTTTCATCCTGTGACACATTATTAGTATAGATTTAAAAAAAAAATGTTTGACATAGACCATTTTCAATGATTTTGCAAAGTAGGACCCGTGTTTTTGGGTGAATTTTAATATATTAAGTAACACTTCTGGAATTCAAACTATGTAAACATATTGAAATGAAATTGACCATTTTAAATAATTGATTTTTGTAACGATTTAAGCACCAGGGAAGGTATTACCGTTCATTTGGTTGTCTACTTGTCATATTTTTTCATAAAAGGACGCCATTTGTGGTCTTGAGTAATCTGTTATCGTACAAAATTTATCGTCGTCATCTAAACCATCCATCTACACAGGGACACAAAATATTTGCATTTCTGTAAATTTTGATTTTTAATTTTCATTTTGTAATAGAACAGAATCTTTGTAAGTAGACTAAAGTTTGCTCAATATAATGTTTATCATTAGAGATATTGTCTTGAATATACAGAACAGAACAATAAATAATTCGTATGATTGTGTTTTAGTACCAAGTGTTGCATATTTCGGATATGGGTGTATTTAGACTTTATTCATATTTGCATTTACCCCTAGTCGAAATATCAACGCGATCAGAGCTACGCCTTTGGGATTTTGACCATGTCAAAAATTATCTAAAAATCCCGTAGGTTAAAATATTTTGACTAATTTACCCCGTACAATAACATTTGTTCATTTTACCTTCAAAAACTTCTAATTTATTATTTTTGTTAGTTATTTCAGTTCTTGATGTTTTAGAGAGATTGGATTTTCTATTTGAAAGACCTTGTCTCAATGCTTTAACACTTTCCTATAAACTGATAAATAACCATTTTCCAAGGGAAATTTCATTATATTTATGACAAAAGATCTTTATATTACAAATGTAATAAGCTTGCAAGTATGAATTATATTATATATAAATTACGATTCATAATTGTCTTTATTTTACATCTCTATCAAATTTACAAAAGATGCTGGAACGACATTGTCTTTTGAGTTATTGAGGCCGAAACATCCAGGAGGTGAAAAGTCTTGAAATTGCAAGACCGAAGGATTTTACAAACTGATATTACATAGATCAAGGGCAACCGTCACATATATACCAAAAGCCCTGGCGCACAATTTGTTTGGGCTGTTGAAAGACCCTGATAATTCCTGTACAAGCTTTTATTCTTGAATTTCGTCACAACATCAAAATTTTTATGACACCTAAAGAATGCAAATTGTATGGACATTGCATCACTTTGTTTTTAAGTCTTTGATAAAAGTAGTCAATTGGCATTATTAATTTTAAGTCAATTTTAAGTCATATTTTGAAACATGAATACTTTTTCATTTTAATAGCACCAAGATGTCTGTTGTGACTCTACAAGTTGGTCAGTGTGGGAACCAGGTAGGAGGGCAGCTGTTTGCTGGAATTATTGATGACATGTATGCCAGCCCTTCTCAGGTATTCTCAAGTTAAAGGCCGATAATTATATTGACTATTGACTATAATGTATTTAGTAATCAGTTTACAAAATCTCAGTTACATTATGTTATGTCTTATGAAAGGAGCATTTTACTAAGATACTTGTTTGAGCCAATTTTAAGTTTGAATTTAACTTTTATCTTAACAATAATTTATTTGTTTATGAGCTTGTTACTAAACTCTTTTAACTTTATGTCACAGTTCAGAACTACATAACCAACATAACTACAAGTTTTGCGTTTATTCAAATTTATGTAGAATGTCATTGAAAGTTACATGAATGTAAAACATAGGGATTTTTTTTTCAACTTGCCAAATCTTAAGAGATATAAGTGTTCAGCCATTTAAATAGTACTGAAAGTGTTTTTGATTATATACAACCATAAGGACTTAGTACACCCTTTAATATAGAAGTATCTCCCTAATTATTTAATTCAATTTTTCTGCCTCCGTGAATTTCTTGTACATGTTTTCTTTTTTAATTTCAGGTGAATGTGACATCACAGGTCAACAACGATTACATAGAAGATGTTAAACAGAAGTTTTTTAATTGCTCAGATAAACCAGGTAGTTTACCAGAGGCTAGAGCTGTGATGGTAGATATGGAACCTAAGGTTAGTTTCCATCTTTAGAGTCAACAATTTAAAAACCTAAAAATGCTTATTTTAATTTCTCTGAAGCTTTTCAGTTTTGATGTTCTGTTAACAGTTTCAGAAATGGCACTCAGTCGTCATATGGCTGTAGGATTTATCTCACTACAGTGTTGGAGAAGTACACAAAAATCATGATCATATTATAGAAAAATAGAAGAATCGCCTAAAAAAGGGATATTGTGACAAAAATCATTCTCACTTAAGAAAATTATAGAAAAATATCATTTTTTCAGCAATTCCAGTATTTTTCATTCATAATCATATTAATTTTTGTGAGGCAATGAATTAGCGATTTTAAAGTGCATTAAGACCGTAGTTTTTAAGACAGCTTAACTGGAAACCAACCACATTGCACCAAACTTTATGTCAAAATATCTGGCCAGTTTTAAAAGAAAGAGCAACACTGTTTTATTTTAATTTCAGGCAATTGCCCAGACTTGCCATGAAGCAAAGAGATCAGGGAAGTGGAAATACCCAGATAAACTACAGTTTCATCAAAAGAGAGGCTCGGGTAATAATTGGGCTCATGGATACAGGTAAACTGTAATTTATAGCTAAGTTAAAGTGTTGTAAATACTGTATGAAGCTTGAAATATGTGTTATCAAACTTTAACTTTTTTTTCTTTACTCTCTTATTCATGAATTAGTGTTAAAAGAACAAATTTTACGTTTATTTTTCTGTTTTTCTATCGGTAATGAATCATTTTGTGTCATATCTGAGGAGAATACATGTTCTAGATATTCTTTTTAAAATTGAAAAATTATATATATGTATGTGTGTGAAAGAAAGTAAGTTACTAGTATAATTATACATAGAAAAATCCCATGAAAAATCGGATATAATTATTCTTTAATCTTTGCAGAATTCACGGAGCTGCAGCAGAAGAGCGGATTATGGGTATGGTTCAGAAAGAGGCTGAAAAATGTGATAACCTAAATGGATTTATGACATTCATGAGTCTTGCGGGTGGAACAGGCTCCGGGGTAGGCGCCTACATCACACAATGTTTAAAGGATGAATTTCCACGCGCATTCCTATTAAACCAGGTCGTATGGCCGTACTCTACGGGAGAGGTGATAGTTCAAAACTACAACGCTGTGTTGACGTTGTCACATCTGTACAAGTGTTCTGATGCAGTATTAGTAATGGAGAATGACCAGTTACACAAGATCTGCACTCAACTGTTGAACATTAAGAAGATTGGGTTCCGAGACATAAACAAAGTTATATGTCATAAACTTATGGGTATTTTATTACCGGCAGTGACGCAGAAATACACAGAATATGCATCATCTAATAATTTCGGTAATGATGTACATGGTTTATCTTTCTTTTTAGGATATAGTTCTAAAAGATTTCAAGCACATTATTGGGTGAAAACATTTCTTTTGACATAAAAAAATAATACATAAAGTTGGAAGTAACATAATTATGTTGGCCAGTTTGGCCTCCCTTCCCTTTGCTGAGGTGTATGGGGTCAAGTTCAAGGTCATTGATGCTAAAAATACATTTTTTTATAATTTTGCCTCACAATTTGTGCTTACTTTGCATCACCCAGCTTTGCATGAAGATCTACATGTATCATTTTAATTGTAGGAAGGTACCTTTCAAGCTACTTGAATCACAATGAAGATTAAATATCCATGAGTGGTGAAAGTCATAGACTTCAAACCACTTATCTCTCACTGCTGTGGGTTTGAAATCCTGAAGGGCATGGGATTTTTTTCATGTGAAAAAACTATCCAGTTAGCTTACCGACGTCAGCGGTCCTACTCAGCTGCACTTCGGATCTTCCTCCACAAGTAAAGAAGCTTAAAAATTGCCATATGACCTCTTAATGTGCTGGTGCAACCTAAAACCCAATAACAAAAAAACAAAACAAAAAACATATGTAATAAACTCTGTGACACTTGATTCTAAATGATTGAAATTACTCAAAAAAACTATTTTAGTCACTCAGAATAAAATGTTTGACTACATGAATCTAGATGAATATATCTTTTTATGTTTAAGGTGAAATGTTGGAACACCTTGTACCATGTCCAGATTACAAGTTGCTTACTGTAAAGAATATACCTCAGATGTCGGAAACATCAAAAGATTTTAGCAGTTATCAGTGGCCTGGTTTACTGAAACACCTCAGACAGATGCTTATAGCCAATGCTAGCATGGAGGAAGGTATGGGTTCTTTCTACACAAGGGAGATCACTCTGTAGGAAAAATACTAAAAGAATGGGTTTTTTTTACAAAATTTATGCTTTTGAGCACAGGCTTCCGGGACATTTGTCTTGCCAATTATAGTCAGATCATCTTAAAATAATCACTCCTTGATCGTCAAGAACAAAATTACTATCCAGCACTGTATATATGAATATACATTATATTAGTTTGGAAATATAATTTTTTGTAATATGCAAGAAAAAAAATCAAACACTGTCTGTCCTTGCAGACAAGAATATATAGCTCTTAAGTGACTGTTTAGTGGAAACTCAGCAGAGCCTAGTTACTGTCGTAAACAGTTACCCTCAAGCTAGATATTTGGGTCTGTATCAGCAACAAATGTAATATCCTTATAGGTTTGTACAACCTGCTTGTAGGCTAAAGGTTAAAACAATGATCCTGATGAATCCTGTGAAATGGCAGGAAGGAATATAGCTTGTAAATGTTCATTTGATCTTTTATACTGGATACTTTTATACTGGATACTTTTGTTGCTTGAATTTGGTTATTTCCTTATTACTTACAGACAGTTTGTATATCCAAAGCAAGATATTTTCATTACAAAAATTATATCATTAAAGAGTTCATACCACTGGAGTCAGTAATATATCATATGTTTTACAGGGATCGATTGGCAGGGTCAAGCTAGAAGAAAGCCGTAGATCTTTGGCCAACACGCTCATTCTGCGAGGGAAAGATTTAGACAATGTTGACCTGTCCTCATTCATGGATCACAGACTTTACCCATCCTGGATACCAGCAGATGACACATTGTCTGTGTACAAACAACAGAGAACTTTCAATAAATATGAAAAATGTGCTACGTTAGTGACAAATAACAAATCCCCGATAGCTTCGTTAAATTCGGTTATAGATAAAGCTTGGAACATGTTTTCGTCGAGAGCATACACACACCAGTATGTTAAACATGGCATGACTGAGGAGGATTTTATTGATAGTTTTGTGATGTTAGAACAGGTTGTGGCAAGCTATAATAACTTGTGATTGAATGTGTATTGTTATAATAAGTTGTGGCTAGCTATTAGAAGTTGTAATGCATCCAGATGGCAAGCTATAATAACTTTTATACATTCAGATGGCAAGCTATAATAACTTGTGTGACATCCAGAAACAGGTTTCTGCTAGCTATAATAACTTGTGTGACATCCAGAAACAGGTTTCTGCAAGCTATAATAACTTGTGTGACATCTATAACAGGTTATTGCAAGCTATAATAACTTATCTGGAATGTGTAATGTTAGAAGCTATGATAACTTGTAATGCATCCAGATGGCAGGCTATAATAATTTGTGATATATTCAGATGGAAAGATACAGTAACTTTGTTACATCTAGAAACAGGTAATTACAAGCAACAATAACTAGTGACTGATGATACATCCAGAAAATGGTTGTGATTGGTAAACTTAAGGTTGTATCTAGCTATACTAACATATGATATAGCCAGAAAGCATGACATTTTGACAGGGTCTATGTTGCACACTATTAACACTTGTGCATCCAGAAAATGTAATGTTAAAACAGGCTATGGCAAGTTATAATAACTGCGATACTTTCAGAAATCATGATACATTTTTGTATTTGAACAGGTTCTGTATTGCAAATTACAATTAATTGTAATACATCCTGAAAGAGGTTGTTTGTTATTTAATTTGCATATTGTTATATAGAAGTATTTTAATGAAATAAATGTTCTTCCTCCGATGTATTTGGCTTTGTAAATAGGAAAATTATTTTGAATTAAGGAGTGTCTATTAGTAAAGAAAATGTGTACCTATAATGCAACTCAAAATGTAACAAAAGAAAATAGCAAAAACATATTTCATAAACCTAAAATATTGGAATGCTGGTTAAAAAAAGAACACACACAAAAAAACAGAGTATAAAAAGTTTAATATGATAATCATGAATTTTTATATAAACAATGCCACATTAAAGTGACCCCACTGAGGTTTTTTAAAATGACAAGACTAGAAATAATTTTTCAAAAAATTATAATCCATTTGATGACCTAGACCAATAAGTTGTGTGCAAAATTACAAATCATTTTATTAATCTGTTTTTCCAGACCAATTAATTGATTGTGAAAAATGACCCAAAATTTAAAAGCGTTTCACTCAAATCGTGCAGAGAATAGCACAAAAGTACAATTTTCAATTTATTTCTGATTATATTTTTTAATTAATTTTTGCATATCTTTCTGCTTTAAGTGCCCAAGCTGATCTATGTAAGAAATTCAAATTTTTAGTTTTTTTACCTCAGTGGAGTTCCTTTTATGTGTATGACAATGGTAATAATGTATCAAATACATTTATGTAATGTTGCATTGCACATGGTTAACAAAATTATACAGTGAATGTGAATCAATATAAGGTGTGAGTTAGTAATAAATATTTATTTCTGTTTATTATAGATTGTAGTATAATTTAGGACCAACAGACCGCTGTCATATGCAAAGCAATACACCCCCACTTCTCCTCATTGTGTTCATTAAAAGAAAGGGGCATCTTTCTGATAGTGTTTTTGTAGAAATATAACTGTCAAATTTTCTTACATTTATCAATACAGTCTGACCCTGGTTATTCGACAACCCATTATTCGAAAAAGATTTGTCGAATACTAGGCATTATCCGAAATAGACAGGCGTTCCCGTTTTTATCCCGATATATATTAATTAAATATAAATAAGAACATTAAACCAAAACAAAATCCTTTCATCTTAACAGTTATAAAAACATTATGAAAACTAGAAATGTGTCATCATGCCACGGATGCCCCCGCATGCAACCAAAATTTCAGATGTTATAATATTTAGTTCCAAATTTGTTTGCACAAATTATTTTTTTCATTTTAAGTTCAAAGCCCTTAAAACTTTTCAATGTTAACACAAACCATTTTCATACAATGTTCAAGGCACTGAAATTATTCTGTCTAAACCTTTTGAAAATAGCATATTTCATATTTGTAGCCAAAATAATGGCTACATTCATTTCAGTGCTGAAACTGAAAGTTCAAAATTTTTCCAACATTCAAGAAAGATAAGTTTGTCCAAAATCATTGAACCACGACCAAATTCAAACTTAAACTGCTTATTCCTAAGATGTATCTATATTATTTTCAAAGTGAAAGGGACATAACTCTGCCAAAAAGTCATCGAACCATGACCAAATTCAAACTTGACCTGCCCATTCCTTTGACATATCCATATGTCAAATTTGAGTAGTTGGGTAGATAATGAACAGAAACTGTAAATTTCATATTATTTTCAAAGTAAAAGGGGCATTACTCTGCCAAAAAATCATTGAACCATGACCAAATTCCAACTTGGCCTGGGCATTTCAAAAATATATCCATATGTCAAATTTGAGTTGAATGTGTTGTACCGTTGGGGAGATAATAAACAGAAACTGAAAATTTCATATTATTTTCAAAGTGAAAGGGGCATAACTCTGCCAAAAATCATTGAACCATGACCAAATTTGAACTTGACCTGCGCATTCCTGTGACGTATCCATATGTCAAGTTTGAGTTAAAAGTGTTTGTACCATTGGGGAGATAATGACCGGAAACTGAAATTTCATATTATTTTCAAAGTAAAAGGGCATAACTCTGACAAAAATCATTGAACCATGACCAAATTCGAACTTGACCTGTATTTTCTCACGATATATCCATATGTCAAATTTGAGTTGAATGTGTTGTACTGTTGGGGAGATAATGAACAGAAACTGAAAATTTCATATTATTTTCAAAGTAAAAGGGGCATAACTCTGCCAATAATCATCGAACCATGACCAAATTCGAACTTGACCTGTATTTTCTCATGACATATCCATATGTCAAGTTTGAGTTGAATGTGTTGTACCATTGGCGAGATAATGAACGGAAACTGAAAATTTCATATTATTTTAAAGTAAAAGGGGCATAACTCTGCCAAAAATCATCGAACCATGACCAAATTCGAACTTGACCTGTATTTTCTCACGACATATCCATATGTCAAATTTGAGTTGAATGTGTGCAACCGTTACTAAGATAATAAACGGAAACTGATGATGACGGAATGACAGAATGACGGAAGGACGGAATGACGGAAGGACGGAACAGGGTAACACTATATGCCCCAGCCATTACATGGCGGGGGCATAAAAACAAGAAGCGCCGCAATGCGACGAAAACCAGGTTTTCAACAACCAAGTTTTGATGTGACTGTCATCAATAGGTCAAAGTGCACTGAAGTTATTGAGTAGAAGCTGAAAATTCTATTGTAAGCAAATTACTTTGACCTTGCTCCCAGATATCTAAGTGGCAATCCAAAGCTGCCACTCAGCAAGTATGGTGTCAAAAGGTCAAAGCAAACTCAAGTTATAACATGAAAACTAAATACATTAACCTTGATCACAGACACCTGGGTAGCAATCCCAAGCTGCCTCTTGATATAAGCTACCCATTCATCAAGTTTGGTGTCAATAGGCCAAAGCAAACTCAAGTTATTGAGCAGAAACTGAATTTCTATTTTTAGTAACAGTGACCTTGACCTTGATCACAGACACCTGGATAGCAATCCCAAGCTGCCTCTTGATATAAGCTATCCATACACCAAGTTAGGTGTCAATAGGCCAAAGCAAACTCAAGTTATTGAGCGGAAACTGAATTTCTATTTTAAGTAACAGTGACCTTGACCTTGATCACAGACACCTGGGTAGCAATCCCAAGCTGCCTCTTGATATAAGCTACCTTCACAATTGGTGTCAATAGGCCAAAGCAAACTAAAGTTATTGAGCGGGAAACCAAAAGTTGACGCCCGCCCACCCGCCCGCCTGCCCACCTGCCGACTTCGGCATTACAATAACCCGGTTTTCGTTGAAAACCTGGTTTAAAAACATAATTGAGTCAAGTCATGACAAAACTAACATAGTACGTTTGCGACCAGCATGGATCCAGACCAGCCTGCGCATCTGCACAGTCTGATCAGGATCCATGCTGTTCGCTATAAGTTTCTCTACTTAACTTGTAAAAGGGTTGGTAAGCAAACAGCATGGATCCTGATCAGACTGCACGGATGCGCAGGCTGGTCTGGATCCATGCTGGTCGCAAAAGCACTATGTTGGTTTCATCATGTCGTGGCTCAATAATGTAAATGACTCAAAAAGGAATTAATTGATACATTCATAAATTTAACAAAATGGTGATTACCTGTCAACCAATGGATTGTGGGTCCCAGCCCTTTTATAGTCACAACCATGTTTCCTCATAAAAAAAAACCAGTACAGGAAATGAACCCCATAATTGTGCAGATTCTTTTCAATCATAATCCATTCCCAATTCCCAGCTAATGTCACTATGATTACGGAGAAGAAATTGTTTACTGGTAATAGCAAGATGTACCACTACCATTAAACTGTGAATAATATCAACAGAGAGTCAGAGACAAAATTATTAATGCTCTAATAAGTTACACAACCTTACTATATGAGTATTTCAAACAAACAAATAAAATGTATTCAACAGGATAATCCCTTATTAAATGTCATGTGTCTTTTTTTCAGCCATCAGCCTGCTATTAGCAGCAGAATGTACACATTCAATCAGTGCCGACCAAGATCAACCAGCACATTGGTGCTATCTGATCATGGTCTGCACTGTGCACTATTCAGTTAGTAAATGTTTTGGCAATTTGCCAAAAAAAAGGATGAATGGTTTAGTCCACATTGAAAGATGGACTTGTCCAATTAACATGTTTAGTATGGTAATGGTTGAATATCAAAAATATAAGTCACAGATTAACACATTATATAATATGTAAAGATAAATCATACCATAAAGAACTTTTATCAAAAGTGCACAAAAAAATTATAACAGTGTAAAAGTAATACAAACACAAAATTATTTGCTGAATTCAACTTTGCTATCAATCATAAAGTCTGTGCACACAAGCAAGTAAATACTCCCACACCCTTTCTATGTTTACAGACGGCACAAGGCTTGAAATATAACAAGAGCACCACGATGGTGCCTAAAATTCATAGCTTAAAAGGGACATAACTTCACAAATACTGATTTCAAAATTATCCCCCTTTTCTAACAACTGCATCTTGTCATGATAAGCAAGTATTCTAAGTTTCATGTTGATTCCTTTTTAAATGTTTGAATAATGGGCTGCAGTAAAGGTTTTACACATTGACTACACCGCCACAGCGATCATAATAGCTGGACATTTTCTTTGAAACAAACAAGCTAAAAATAAGTATGAGCAGAATTTGAGCCAATGCATTTATATAATACTTGTTAAGAATCAGCCATCAGCTGGCCCCAAGGTTATAAAGAAATTCTTCAAACTCAGATCTCAGGTAGTTGATTGGTCAGAAACTGTCATAGAATGTACCCTGACCAATGAAAATCCTGAGGTTTGAGATAGAATTCAGAAAAAAAGTTTTATAACCTCAAGGCCTTCAGATAACCTTGGAGGTATCTGTTGCATTTGCTAATGAGGTCCAAAGTTGCAATCAAGTTACAAAAATGCTGTTTTATAATACATAATTTTAAAATTCAATTGGTGTTGGAAATTTTTATGTTATCAAATGCTCGAGAATATTTCATTGATATAAAAATTGATTCCTGCAAAATTAAAAAAAAATATATATATTAAGTTAGACTGTTAGTTATTCCTGTAATGTATGAACACTTTAAAATGTTGAACAAATGGTTATGGTGAGACATACATGTATGTAATTGGTACTAACTTTGTGATAATGTGTCTGAATAAATGATCTTCATTAATGCATCCACGATTACCCAAGTTACTTACCGCTATCAGCATAAATGTTATATATACAGAATGTGTACCATACTGGTTCCGACGACGCATTAATAGTGATAAATATACAACTTTTTATCGTTATTTCAGTCTTCTTCACTGACCCACATGAGTATTCCGTACATGTGAGGAAGTTTAGTCATGAGTGTATTACAAACAGTGATTATTTGATATGCTATCATGATTAGTGATATACATGTATAGTTTTATTATGACCAAATCCATCAGTGTTCCTGTATGACCCCCTATTGGGGTAATTAACCCATATACCACTATAATAATATTATAGGGGTAACTTAGCACAATTTTAGACTTCAGTACCTCTAGGTAAATTTGTTGTATACAGGTAAAAAATCAAGGAAGAAAGTGTTTTTGTACCAAGATTCCAATTCAAGCCGGAACACTGATTTATGTGCATATAGTCATGACTGCACTTCCCAGATCTCGGATATTTAATATTTACATTGCCAATACTATAAACAAGTCTATACTGACACTTGTATTTCTAATGTAAGTTATATTAACTACTTCACTTCAGTATCACATTTATAGCTTTTATTATAATAATGACATCTAGTCAGTAATCGGGCCTCCGATCCGTCCACTTCTGGATTTAGGTATGGTTCTCTTTACAGGTGGATTTTGGACGACGTTATTCATTGATTTGGTTCTTTGATTATCGTCCGTAGCGCCGTAACCGACAGAACCGGACTCCGATGCTCCTGATTCTGCATCAGAAACTGCCTTTGGCGTCGTTGGCCGATCAGATATTGAAGTGTTTTCAAAATTTCCGCCACTGCGTCTCCCAATCACATGCCCCGTTCTTCGTTTATTAGAACTGTTGTCGGCACTTCTCTCGGGCGTCTCTGGTAACGGTTCTATTTTTAGTTTTTTCACAATGAAATAAAATAACGGAATTCCCAATACGGCAATTCCGCACAGGAAGTAGAAGTAATAGTCTAAATGACAGTCCCCTCTTGATCCGAAACAACCTTTTCTGCAATTTATGTTGCCATGATCTTCTTGGAAAAACCATGTCCCTTCAAAAGCATGCAACACTGCAAACCCAAGAAAACTACCAAGTCCAGAGAAAAAATAGAAAAGCCCCATCACACTGCTTTTCATAGATCTTGGCGAGACCATGCTGGCAAACTCTAATCCTAAAAGATAGAAAATCTTGTATATTACAATGTATTACCATTGGTTTAACCATTTACCTGGTACTGAAAGTGATTAGACTTTGCCATCAGTACAGAGCCAGGTCAACCTGCACACCCTTGCATTCTGACCAGACTTTATACTTTTGACTGACAAATTCAAATTTTCATCTTGACATGCCAAAAATTGATAATAAAATAAATAGCAAGATAGCAAGTTCATGTGAAATAGGGTTGAAGTCTAACTTGCTGTGTGGTTAAGGTACATGTAACTTACTTGGAATCATCTGCACCTCACTGCAGCAGGTTTAAATCCCATTATTGGCAGTGAGTAATAACATGCGTGTTTACTTTAAAGGAACTCCACTGAGATCTAAGAGCCTTTATTACATATTCCCCCACCCCCCTTTCTAGCCCTTGACTCACATTATTGGTAATTTTGTTATAGAAACTTGACATAAATGGATACATGAAACTGTTCAGTTATGGAAAAAAGAAAAATAATGACCTACTAGTTTTAACCAATCAATATGTGAAATCTAGAGAGCTTAAAACTCTATTGTCAGTTTCATAACACTATAGTATTGAATTTAACTAGAAAATTGCTCATTGCTTTTCTTTCGCACATGACTTGTTACTGTAATTGCTATTTGCTGATAGCAGTGCACATTCAAAATTAAAAAAAAAAAGAATTAAATAAATGTTAAAAATTGGTAGTGTGAAAAAAAAGAAGTCATTGTTGCATACAATACTGATTCACTGATTATTGGCCTTGAAACTGCAAAACCTATATTGGACTCAGCAATGTATTAGACTCTGCAAGTGCCTTGTCCAATATAAGTTTGACAGCTCTGTACTTGTCCATTTAAATTCAGTATTATACTCAACAATGTGTAATAACTAATAACCTCATAGTATATGGAATTTAGTTGTTATAAAAGTAAGGGGCAGTAACTTTGTGTAATCTTGGATATACACATTTAATGCGCATATTTTAATAATATAGCAGAAAATCAGAACTATTAAGTCTCATGAAAATTAAAACTATATTTTTAAGTTTTTAACCAGTGGTTGCCGTACACAACTTGAATAAACTTCAATCAGACCTAAGTTACAGTAAATAAAGTTACAGATTTACCAGATGAACAAATGAGCCGCATCACGACAAAACCAACATAATGGGTGTGCCACAAGCATGGATCCAGACCAGCCTGCGCATCTGCACAGTCTGATCAGGATCCATGCTGTTTGCTTACAAACCGTATAACAAGTAGATAAACTGATAGCAAACAGCATGGATCCTGATCAGACTGCGCGAGTGCGCAGGCTGGTCTGGATCCATGCTGGTCGAAAACCCATGTTGGTTTTGTCATGGCGCGGCTCAAATTTGCATGCATATGATTTGATATCCCTTAAAACAGTTTTGTTAAAGGCGTACAATTTTTACAGTCATTTTTTAGTTTTGTTAAAGTGGTATAACTTTTACAGTCAATTTTTAGTTTTGTTAAAGTGGTATAAGTTTTACAGTCAATTTTTAGTTCTGTTAAAGTGGTATAACTTTTACAGTCAATTTTTAGTTTTGTTAAAGAGGTATAACTTTTACAGTCAATTTTTAGTTTTGTTAAAGAGGTACAATTTTTACAGTCAATTTTTAGTTTTGTTAAAGAGGTATAACTTTTACAGTCAATTTTTTATTTCTGTTAACGGGGTACAACTTTTACAGTCATTTTTTTTAGTTCTGTTAACGGGGTACAACTTTTACAGTCATTTTTTTTAGTTTTGTTAACGGGGTACAACTTTTACAGTCATTTTTTTTAGTTTTGTTAAAGAGGTATAACTTTTACAGTCAATTTTTAGTTTTGTTTAACAGGGAACAACTTTTACAGTCAGTTTTTATCAAAATGTTTTTACCTGCTATACTTGTGAAGATTTCACTGAAACCAATCAGACTATACTGCGGTATCTGCCAGAATATACTCATGTTTGCCGCATAGTATACAACACCTTCCTCTGTAAATAAATGAAATAATTCAAATAAGTATGCATTTGATAACTACATTTCTTCAATATCAGAAAGGTTATATGGATCTCCAATCTGTTAATAGTGATAACCCTAATCTTTTTGCTGTTATGAAGAAAAAAGTGCCAAATGGAAATATTAGCTAAAATTTCCTAATTTTTTTCCGAAATATGATTTGTCTGAAAGATGCTAGAAAAAGAATCAAACATTGGCTGTCATCACATAACAGAATATCTAGCTTGCAGGTAACTGTATAGAGGAAACTCTGCAGAGCCTTGTAAATAATTTACTGTTACCCTAAAGCTAGATATTCTGGTCTGAACCGGCAGCCATAGTAAGATCCTAAAAGTACATATCTATGGCAAAAAGTATAACATGGGCTAGCAGATGGACCATATGCACCACGGTACCATCTCCTCTTGGTCACGTGGGGTAGATTCAGTCGCAACTTGTAGGGTAAGAGTTAAGGCACAAAAAATCCACATGTAATGTTAACATTAGTCAAACAAGAGGGCCATGATGGCCCTGGGGTCGCTCACCTGTACATAGGCCCCCAGGGCGAGGCTAGTTTAAACCCAAGGGCTTTTATTTGAACAAACTTGGCAGACACCCATTAGAAGATGTTTCATGATGTTAAGTTTTTACTATACACAAATAATGAAAAACAATGACTTTTGCCCCCCTCCCCCTGGCAGGGCCAATTTAACCCCAGGGCTTTTATTTGAACAAACTTGGTAGACACCCATTAGAACATGTTTCATGCTAAATATCTTAGCTCTAGCTCTTTGGGTTCTTTAAAAGAAGATTTTTAAGTTTTTAATTACTATATGCAATATAGGGAAAATCAATGACCCCCTAGGGCGGGGCCAATTTTGACCCAAGGGCTTTTATTTGAACAAACTTGGTAAACATCCATTAGAACATGTTTCATGCTAAATATCTTAGCTCTAGCTCTTTGGGTTCTTTAAAAGAAGATTTTTAAGGTTTTACTGAAAATCAATGACCCCTGGGGCGGTGCCAATTTTGACCCCAGGGCTTTTATTTGAACAAATTTGGTAGACACCCATTAGAAGATGTGTCATGCTAAATATCTTAGCTCTAGCTCTTTGGGTTCTTTAACAGAAGATTTTTAAGTTTTTACTATATGCATATAGGGAAAATCAATGACCCCCTGGGGCGGGGCAATTTTGACCCCAGGGCTTTTATTTGAACAAACTTGGTAGACACTGATTAGATGTTTCATGCTTAATATCTTAGCTCTAGCTCTTTGGGTTCTTTAAGAGAAGATTTTTTAAGTTTTTACTATATGTATTTAGGGAAAATCAATGACCCCCTGTGGCGGGGCCAATTTTGACCCCAGGGCTTTTATTTGAACAATCTTGGTAGACACTCATTAGAAGATGTTTCATGCTTAATATCTTAGCTCTAGCTCTTTGGGTTCTTTAAAAGAAGATTTTTTTAAGTTTTTACTATATGCATATAGGGAAAATCAAAGACCCCCTGTGGCGGATCCAATTTTGACCCCAGGGCTTTTATTTGAACAAACTTGGTAGACACTGATTAGAAGATGTTTCATGCTAAATATCTTAGCTCTAGCTCTTTGGGTTCTTTAAGAGAATTTTTTTTAAGTTTTTACTATATGCATATTGGGAAAATCAATGACCCCCTGGGGCGGGGCCAATTTTGACCCCAGGACTTTTATTTGAACAAACTTGGTAGACATCCATTAGAACATGTTTCATGCCAAATATCTAAGCTCTTGCTCTTTGGGTTTTTTAGAGTTTTTACTATATGTATTTAGGGAAAATCAATGACCCCCTGTGGCGAAGCCAATTTTGACCCCAGGGCTTTTATTTGAACAATCTTGGTAGACACTCATTAGAAGATTTTCATGCTTAATATCTTAGCTCTAGCTCTTTGGGTTCTTTAAAAGAAGATTTTTTTAAGTTTTTACTATATGCATATAGGGAAAATCGATGACCCCCTGGGGCGGGGCCAATTTTGACCCCAGGGCTTTTATTTGAACAATCTTGGTAGACACTCATTAGAAGATTTTCATGCTTAATATCTTAGCTCTAGCTCTTTGGGTTCTTTAAAAGAAGATTTTTTTAAGTTTTTACTATATGCATATAGGGAAAATCAATGACCCCATAGGCGGGGCCAATTTTGACCCAGGGCTTTTATTTGAACAATATTGGTAGACACTCACTAGAAAAAGTTTCATGCCAAATATCTAAGCTCTAGCTCTTTGGACTTTTTAGAAGAAGATATTTAAAGTCTTTTCTTTAGGTTGCCATGGCAACCAGAGTTCTGCATGGAATGGAATTCTGTAAACAACTTTGTTAAGGCTTCACACAAGGAACATCCCTGTGAAGTTTCATTATGATCTGCCTTATGGTTTCAGAGGAGATGTCGTTTGAAAAGTGTGAACGGACTCAGGTGAGCTAAAAACGAAAGGGGCGTCTGTGGCAGAGTGGTTAAGGTCGTTGACTTCAAACCACTGCCCCCTCACCGCTGTGGGTTCCAATCCCGACAGGGACTTTGGATTCTTTCATGTGAGGAAGCTATCCAGTTAGCTGACGGAACATTGGTGGCTCTACTCAGGTGCCCGTTTGTGCCTGAAAAAATGCACAGAGGGGCACCTGAGGTCTTTGTCCACCAGTAAAGCTCGAACCTCGCCAAATGACCTAAACTGTGTCAGTGACTTAAAACCCAAATCAAACAAACAAACACAAAACGAAGATTCACAAAGCATCTAAAAGCAAAGTTACTAAACACAATTCTTCAAACTTCTTCTTTACATACAGAACAAAAAAAAAAATAATGTGTTAATGTAAAGCTGATGAATTATGTATGCTTTGTGTAAGAAGCTAACTGTTTTTCCAACCAAAATAACTTTTTTAATAACCAAAAAGTGATTAGCAATCACCACAATATAAAGCCAGGCCAGTGATCATCCCTGCAATCTGATCAAGCTCTATAATATTGGCTAACTTACTTCAAATTTTTATCTAGTTATTCCCAGAATTGAAAATGGAAGCTGGTCATGTCCATTTACGAAATTAAGAAAATTAAAGATTAAAAAGACATTATGCTTATTTTTTCATTGTCAATTTGAACTGAATTGTCTATAAATTTCTAAAGATTGACTGTATGGTAATTCATCAGCAGTTTATATTGGAAAATGCTTAGAATAAAATATGTAAATCTACCTAAAATATAAAAAGACTGCCCTACCTTTTATAAATTGAATGTTGCAGGTAAATTTTATCATTCATACCAAGTAAATTACAAGATTAAAAGGAATTATGGCAAAATGTAAACTTATTTTGACTTTCACCTGTTCACTCACTATATACCCTTGGATGGGCATAATAATGTCACTTTAGTAAACCATAATAATGCATAACAAAAGGGCCATCATGGCCCTGAGGTCGCTTACCTGTATATAGGCCCCCCAACCCCCCCCCCCCCACCCATGTTGCAGGGCCAATTTAACCCAAGGGCTTTTATTTGCACAAACTTGGTAGACACCCATAAGAAGATGTTTCATGCTAAACATCTAAGTGCTAGCTCATTGGGCTTTTTAAAAGAAGATTTTTTTAAAGTTTTTACTATACACATATAGTTAAAAACAATGACACCCCTTGGGCCGGGCCAGTTTTGACCCCAGGGCTTTTATTTGAACAAACTTTGTAGACATTTACTAGAAGATGTTTCATGCTAAATATCTAAACTCTAGCTATTTGGGTTTTTTCAAAGAAGATTTTAAGTTTTTGCTATACACATATAAAGAAAATCAATGACCCCCGGGCGGGGCCAATTTTGACCCCAGGGCTTTTATTTAAACAAACTTGGTAGACACCTATTAGAACATGTTTGATGCTAAATATCTTAGCCATAGCTCTTTGAGTTCCTTAAAAGAAGATTTTTTAAGTTTTTACTATATGCATATAGGGAAAATCATTGACCCCCCTGGGCGGGGCCAATTTTGACCCCAGGGCTTTAATTTGAACAAACTTGGTAGACACTTATTAGAACATGTTTCATGCTAAATATCTTAGCTCTAACTCTTGGTTCTTTAAAAGAAGATTTTTTAAGTTTTTACTATATGCATATAGAAAAAAAAATCAATGACCCCCTGGGGCGGGGACAATTTTGACCCCAGGGCTTTTATTTGAACAAACTTGGTAGACACCTATTAGAACATGTTTCATGCTAAATATCTTAGCTCTAACTCTTTTGGTTCTTTAAGAGAAGATTTTTTAAGTTTTTACTATATGCATATAGGAAAAATCAATGACCCCCCGGGGCGGGGCCAATTTTGACCCCAGGGCTTTTATTTGAACAAACATGAACAAACTTGGTAGACACCTATTAGAACATGTTTGATGCTCAATATCTTAGCCATAGCTCTTTGAGTTCTTTAAAAGAAGATTTTTTAAGTTTTTACTATATGCATATAGGGAAAATCAATGACCCCCCGGGGCGGAGCTAATTTTGACCCCAGGGCTTTTATTTGAACAAACTTGGTAGACACCCATTAGAACATGTTTCATGCTAAATATCTTAGCTCTAGCTCTTTGGGTTCTTTAATAGAAGATTTTTTAAGTTTTTACTTTATGAATAAAGGGAAAATCAATGACCCCCTGGGGCGGGGCCAATTTTGACCCCAGGGCTTTTATTTGAACAAACTTGGTAGACACTCACTAGAAGCTGTTTCATGCCAAATATATAAGCTCTAGCTTTTATGGTTTTTTCAAAGAAGATATTTAAAGTTTTTTCTTTCAGTTGCCATGGCAACCAGAGTTCTGCATGGAATTAAATTCTTTGAACAATTTTTAAAGGTGACCACCAAAGGAACATTCCTGTGAAGTTTGGATGAAATTGGCTTAGTGGTTTATGAGGAGATGTCATTTAAAGTAAAAGTTTACGGACGGACGACGGACGGACGGACGGCGGACGGACGACGGACGAAAAACGATCACAAAAGCTCACCCTGTCACTTTGTGACAGGTGAGCTAAAAACATACCAATTTGTTGAGGAACCATGGCATAGCAACATCTATCAATTGTTTTATTGTTTTATTTGTTGAAGGTTGGTAATCCCAATACTTCTTTAACCGGAAATGTTCGACTATACCGGCCACAAAAATGGCGACAACAGCAAATCCGAGCCCGATCATAATTCTCATTAACATACTCAGGTTCCAACCCTTCTGACGTATCCATGGGTAAATTATACGGTCCATGATCGGAATGAGAACTATCAACAAAATGACATCAAATAACGTCAGCCACGCTACTGCTATACTAAACTGAAAATAACAATAAAAAAATGCAAAATCATTATTATTTGTGGAGCACTACTTTTCGTGGTTTTTGGAGATAGGTCAATCCAAACATTTAAGATCCGACAACGATATGTTATTTCGTTTGCTGTCAACTGCTGTACCATTTTTATAAAATTGTAATTTTTTTCGCAAAAACAGGAAATTCATGAATTTGAAGACACATAAAAATGAGATTTTTGACAAAACTCCAAACTTTTATGCCCTTAACATTAAGTAAATTAACAGTACTCAATATCATTACTGCAGTCTTCTTTTTTGATTGGTCTATTTTTCCAAGTCACAATGACACCATAAAGGTCATAATGATATCTTCACAGCTTTCCTGGTGGTAGGTATCCCTTCATGTATTATTTCAGGAATAGGCAGGCACCCAAGTTAAACCACCGACCCCTTGTGTGCTATATGCACAACTTCCTCACATGAGAGAATCCAAAATCCCCGACAAGATTTGAACCCACAACAGTGAGGGGCAAGTGATTTAAAATTGGCAACTTTTGCCACTTGGCCATGGCGGACCCATTTTAATTTTGAATTAAATGTAATTTGAACTAAAATGTAATTTGAACTAAAATGTAATTTGATATGATGTATGATATGCTCGAAAAATTTGCAACCATAATTTTTTTAATTTAATTACAAGATTTAAAGATTCATGCTAATTTTCATGAAAATTTTGAAAATATGTTTCAAAGTTTTATTCAGTGAAATAACCAAAAGGAAGTAATTTACACAATATCTATGGCACTTACAACCCACGTAAATTACTAAAAAGAGGACAAAATATGCAAAAATAGCCCTTACTGCTAAGTAACGCAGTAGAAATATAGTTATAAATACTGAAAAATCGGTCATTAATCGCACATAACATGTAAATTATTACTAGAACTTTGAATCTTTACACTTTTCCTAAAATCTTTGTACATTTTTCTCAGGTTTGGTTTTATTGAAATATTTTCGCTCATCTGGAGGCGTGCAGCTTTAAATGATTTTAATCTATATTAATTATATTATCAAATATTTTAACAAGTACTGGCAGTCGATATAGCCTAAAATTAGATCAAAACTTATAATACTTTTTAAAGATATATGTAATTATCATATTAATCAATTTACCTTTGATAAATTGGCTGTATCTTTGGAATATGGTGCCCAAATTTTAGTCGGGTCGTTACAAGAACGAGTTACATTATATTCATCTGTGTACAGCTTCATATGTAAACCTTGAACCAAAAATGTTGTCTCCATCTGCAATATAATAAATAATTCAATCTGTGAATTTGTTTTGTTACAGTTTTCTTCCTGATCATTTTTTTTTTTTTTTTTGGGGGGGGGGGGGGGGGGGGTCAAAGCTGGGAATAGCTTCTGACTCTAAATACTTGTATTATAATTGGCAAATTTTCACTGCAACCTAACAAAAAAAAACAATGAAAAACAGATTGAAAATATAAATAAAACACAACTTTTCCCTCCAAAAGGTACCTTGGCAGGCACCATCCCCAACATATCACTGTCTATACAGAATTTAAGTTATTAATTTTAATTTACTGCTTTGAAATTGGAATTGGACATTGACATGAAGTAGTTTCAAGAGTTTAAAAAAGTAAATTTAAGATTTTAGCATGGGATGGGTAAAAATTAACCTCCAATCCAGAAGTATGTATCCAAGAAATTTAGGCTCTCGCTTTAGTATCCTAAAGGTTATGTCAAAGGATATAGCTGTTCACAGATAGACTGGACTAAAGATTTTCCGGGGTATATTCGTACAAGAAAATTAAAATTAAGATGTCAACAGTAGAAAACATCAAGGATGGGAGGTAACACAGTGCTCTTACCTGATAGTAAACCATCCAGTATGGTAACAATGCCGCAAACACAACCAGGATCTTACCCAGCTGCTTTACATCATCTACATCGTTATCATGGAACGTGCCACCAAACCGGAACTTGGCATGGTCTAAAAAACTGATGGATTGAGCATTTGGTACTAGATCTGCTTGACCCCTGGGTTTAAATTAAAGAAATGTTACTATATTATTATCAACAGTGCCTCAGCACTGACATTAATTACTTGAAAATGTGTAAAAACTGTTGTCATTGATTAAATGATTACACATTGACTTTCCAATGTGGTTAAGACATAAATGGGGATGGTGGCCTAGTGGTTACGGTGTCTGCCTCTCAACTCATGAATCATGGGTTCGAGCCCTAATCGGGTCACGACCATGTTTCTTCATATAACACCAGTACTGGTTGGTTCCAGGAAGTGGACTCAAAAGTGACTGATATAAATTGCAAGAACTTGTTTTGCAATCAAGCATAAAAAAATGTTAATATACCAGTAAAATAAATACATGTACATGTATATAGTTTCTTTCATCTGGTTAATTTTCACTGTTTACTTCTACTCAGATTTCAACCTCTGGCTACAATTTTCTTACAATAAATTCATTATTATAAAATATATATTTTTATCACATAAACCGTGGTGCAAGAGTGTAATAAAGCCATTTAATAAAAGCACTTTCATGTGACATCACTTGTGTTATATTCAAACATAGCGTAAAAGCGCACTAATGTTAGGATTAAACTATAGGCGTGTCAATGAAAAATGACTCTTTTTAACAGTTTACCGTTCTTATTTTAGATATGTGATAAATAGAATATTATATTCCTGTAGATTCAACACTAAATTTATTGAACACATTGAATAAAACAATATTATGCTCGCCAGAGGCTGACACATGATATGATTTTATTCAACTCATTCAATAAATTCAGTATTAAGGGTACACTCATTCAATATCCTCTATAAATCTTATTCTCACCTTTGAAATTCTAATCTGTGGTCAAAATGCTGTTCTTTCTTTCTTTTCTTCATTCTCCATGCATCTCGTATTATCTTGAAAATGTTGGCAAATATGCTTCCCACAGGTTTACGATACACATATGTACATTTACCTTGTTAAAAAAATCATAATAATGTATGTATTTTACTAAAATGTATCACAAGTTCAAAACATATATAGTAGATATTTTTTGAAGCGGAAACAAAAAAATAAAAATCCAAGTGTTAAAGTATAAAAGTTTGGAGTGGGGAATGGGGGGGGGGGTTGGCAAAAATAGAATACACCCTAATAAATCACGGCCAAGCTTATAATAATCTTCACTATGATTTTAAAGTTAATATTTTTTCTATGATTAAACAGAAATATTTTCTGGGTTTTGAAGATTCCTTTTTTGCAAGTAACTAGCCTGTTTACATTTTGTAAGTTATGGTATATCCTTAACCACAGTGACATGACCTTATTACTGTGAGTTAGCTGTTTAAAACAAATATGGCCTTAAACAAACCCAAGCCAAATCGCCTACTTTGTTTTTTGTTATACTAGTATTGTTCAGCATATTTTGTTTCTGAAAGTTACCTGACAAGAAGACGATCATTCCTGCGAAGAGAAAGCACATTCCAATTAGATATCCATAAAAGAAACCATCGTCTTTAACTCCTTGCTGTATGTATGCAATGCCTCCAAGAGCTGCTAGTGTGCCAACATTGATAGACCAATAGTACCAGTTGAAAAATACCACTGTACTATTTCCACTTTCACCTCTAAGCTGAAATAAAAAAAAATTTTTTAACCCTTAACTAGCTGAATATCATAACATAATTAACATAATTAAATGTTTCTTTGTAATTGAATGCATGACTTGTAAGAGTCAGAAAATATAATTACATTATTCTAACTCAGCCTCACTGTTTAAAAAATAGCTATTTTAGTTCAACTGTGAACAAGTCACAAGCATGTATTTTAACCTTTTGTAATACAAGCTTTCTCGAAAACTATATAAACCAGTAATGGTGTCACACAAGAAATATGTGATGCACTGGTGTCACCACTAAGGCTTTTGTCCATGATTCCCAGGTTGAGAGGTAGCCACCACTGGTATATTATTCATTAAGTCACTGTTTGAAATTATATGAAAAGGTATTTTACGCTACAAACCTGATCAGCTCCGAATGGGGCGATATTCGCCCGCAGCATTCCTGTCCCTATTCCAACTATAGCTAATGCAACAAATATAAGAACTGAACACTGATTTGTCAATGCATCTGTTGCATATGTGGAATTTCGATGGATACAATTTAATGACGACAAGTTCATCAACTGTTTTTCAATATTTTCATTTGACAGCATAGGGAATAGAATGTATCCTATTAAGTAAATTATAAAGGCTGCCACTATCACACGAAATCTGCCAAACTTTATGTCAGCAATTATCCCACCCAGGAAGTAAGAAATGCATGCAAATCCAAGAAAAAAGAATGATGCATCCAGTGCATACAGGGACGACCAGTTGTACTTAGTTCCATTCAGAAACAAAATAAGATTCCCAGATATGCTGTAGAATGCAAGTCTTTCAAATGCGACAGCAGCCAGAATGGTCGCCTTCGCCAGAATTTTATTGCTGAATCTTGGAATATTACAGCAACTACAAGGAGCTTCTTCTTCGGTGTCGTCATGACGAGGAGGTATCAAACGCTTCCTTTCGTCCACCATTTTGTCTTATTCTCTTCCCTCAATATATCAAAGCATTTAAAGGCGTATGTTACTAAAACACCTCATAACTTTTTTTCTACTTTCACTTTAGTACTTGTTTGTCTCGTCCACCATGTTTTCTTATCATGTGACTTTTAATAATATCACGTGGGCAGACAATTTTCAAAGGAAAATATCCGAACAATCCGCATTACTGCGCAATCTTGGAAAACAAATAGTGCATGATAACGGCATCAATATAATTTCAAGCAAATTATCATTAAACTTTATTTATAACGAATTTTAATCAAACGATGTTACTTTTTAAAATGTAAATAATCTTTAATAGATTTGGTATATTCTAAAATTCAATTAAGCGGGCACCTGCGTGCAGCCTTACTGAATGAAGGTAATATATGTAAGGCGGATTTATCTTACCATAATAGAATGATGGTGGATTCTGAGAGAAGCAAGTGAGGATTAAAATTACAAATTTACGGCGGAAGTAAATGGGGTTTGTTTGTGATTTTAAATAAATGGATAACTTTTGATGATAAAGAATGGACTGACAATATCCAACATGCCGAAAAAACGACGATTGGATCCGTTTCTTCTATGGATTTACTTACTTTTCGGTAAGATGTTGACCTAAATGAAAGTAGTTCCTGCAGTTTAATGTTTTCATCTGTAATATTAATAGTTTATTTTGTTGCTGTGCTTCATTTTCAAACGACAGTGTGTAATTCATGACTATGTTTTTACAAACGCCTTTTGAAACTTTGATTGAATAATTGCGATGTCAATAAGTGAAACACGGATTCTCCACCACAGGTGTTTCATACTCTTAGTTGGTGTAGAAGTTGTTTCTTTTGTATATTATAAAATATATCTCTTAACACAAAAATATTTAATGTTTACAACCACAAATTATCATGGAAGATATTTTTTTTGAAAGATGCATTATTTTTTTCAGAGCATTATTACAATATTTTTTGTAATTTGTTATTTTGAATTTGCAGCAAAAACTTGAAAAGTTAACTTTGAATCTTTTAAAGAGTTGAGTGTGTTTTTTGTATCTTTCAATATGTTACTTGCAGGTTAAGGGTCAATTGGGCCTGAATCCAAACTCCACAAATTATTGAACACCTTATTGACATACATGTGCAGATTCTTTATCTATTGTCTTTTAATTCTGTGACAGTTAATGCATTTTATATTTATTAATATTTCAATCATAAAGAAAATATTAGTTTTGCAATGCCTTTTACAAATATTGTAAATAATAAGGTATCAAAAAAAAAGAACTTGGGTATCTACAGATCCTTAAAAGTCTTTATTTACAAATATGCATACCAATAAACTTTTAAATATCCAATCATATATATTTGTAATAAACATTGTTTGTAAATGATTGATGAAAATAGATCAAAAGGCAACAAATGACAGTTATTAACAGTAATTGAACAAAGTTCATTTGTGCACGGCTTGTATCTGACCTTGATGTCGCAAGAGGCAAGTTAGTTTTAGGGTAGAGCTGACCCTGATATTTATTCAGAGCACCTGGGGCATTGGCATAGGCATAAGCTTTACAGAACTATTACTAAGGGCATCAAAAACAGTACATTGTAGCCAAACTTTAGAACTTGTGGACCAGCTGCTGATGTCCTGACAGAACCTTTAAGACAGTAGTTTTAGAAAACAGGGTTGGGGGAATCACAAAGGAAGGGCTAGTTTTGAGGTGCATGAGCCCCCAGCATGACTGTGTAGAAAGCTTAAATCGTGGCTGCCCTAAGCTGTCAAAACAGCTACCTGTACATCCTAGACCTGTCTCATTCGTTGCTGTGACCTACTTTTTGGCTAATGCTCTGTAGAAATTGTAGGAGGTGTAATATCAGCACTTAGTGCTTCAAGATTTACTCTTCAGAAATTAGAGCATGACAATGACATGTCCAAGGTAAATGACCGCCTTTCATTATTTTTGAATCATTTTTATGGTTGAAATTGGGTTATGATTGATGTTTCTTACAAAAACTTCTATTTTTTCACAAATTCAGTGAGTAATTTAACTACTAATGAGTTTTGCATCAATTGATACCTAATAATCTGAGTGTTATTTATTTGCAGGGAATGTGGTACAAGGAGTTGACATTTCACTAGAGCATCCAAATGATGGGTTTATATTGAGGGAGGTTTATAATAAAAATGCTGTTCAGGATCCGAATTTAGCATCTAAAACATTCATAGTGAACCAGCCATCAGATTTATATAAAATTAAGGCCGAGTATGGGCCGTATGAATCTCATCAAACTCTCTCCAGAGGGCTTTTAGACGCTGCATATTCAAGGAGTAGGAAAAACAATTCATTACTTCATAGAAGTGTAGCCTTTAATTTAGATGTAAGTGCACACATAGTGTCAAAAGATATTTCTCCAAAAATTCCAAAATTGCAAGTGTTAGTGCATGCTACGCCTTTTCTAAAGGCGACAGACACGGAAAACCAGCGATGGTGTGCGCAGGTTTTCGTCGAAGCAAAGGATGTGGAATTATCGTCAGTTTGTATAATTAATGAACGAGACCATGTTTGTGTAGCAAGTTTGGATTTACATAAAGAATGGTGGACTGAAAATTCGACAAGTGTGAAAGTTAGTTATTCTTTTAACAGAATTGATCAGAACGATCAATGTGCCAGTGCATCTAATGTTATTATTCCAGGGCGTTCTTTATTAAACCATACCGAGAGTGGAATTTTTAAACAGGAGATAACTACGTTACATTTAACAAAAAATAAAGAATCTTTTGATGAATGGAAAGATCAGGACATTCTTATAGACGTTCCTCGGGAGATGTTCCATCAGTCCGATACGTTTGAAATTCCGATACGCCTTGAGAAAAACTCCGATCTACAAATATTTGTTATGAGGTGAGTGTAATATCAAGGATTTTTTTCCCAGTATTTTGAAAATAATTGACTGATTGAGAATATTAACAAATTGTTTTCTTAAAAATTGGAACTAATATGTTCAGTTTTTGCTTATATATTATATATATTATGTCCAAAATCTGACTTATCAAGAAAGGAAACCTCACTTGTCCCTCATCTGATGAAGACAGTTTCACGTCTTTACAACATTTATAGCAATACTTTATAACTGCATTTAGTACATACCGGGTAGTGATAATATTTATATGTAGCTGCATTTACAGGGTTGTCATTAAGAGGCGGCAGGAGGCCAAAATGCCTGTCTCAAATGCATTATGGGCTGCCTCAAAATTAAGAAAACACTCTTTGTTATGCATGATAAAGACAGAAATGACCGCCTCAAGTTCAAAACAAACCTTCTGCAAAAAATGTTAATGACAACCCTGCATTTAGCACAGTCGTTGTTCAAGAATTGGGAATAAGATACATACTAATGATATTTGGGATTAGACCAGATTTACCGTAAATCATTCTTTTATTAAATTAGAAGACATACATGTATCATTATTATATTAGTAACAGCAATTTGAGATAACAGCACTTTGAGATCTAAATATTCTGAATTTACCTCCTTGTAAAGCTACAAATACTGAAAAATGTAAGTTTTCAGTACTGCTCCGGTACTTACAGTTTAATGTAAAATAGAAAGTAAAGAGAAATAGCTTGAATTCATGTCAGCCCTAATTTTTTTCAACCCTCTGCAATTCATAAAAGAGATAACAATTTTTATTTGCGGAATTTGTTACAGAAATGTTCAAGTGTTTATGTCAATAAAAGAAAATTGAAAGTTTTTACCAGGTTGATTATACAGACTCATGTTCATACTGAGATAGTGCTATAAAATAGAGTGTATAGGTCATTAGATCCAACCTAACAACCACTGTGTAGTATGGCATGGCGTAAGTTGTTCAGATAGCATAGACAATTTATGACTAGATTAATTGGTTCAAACTGTGATATTAGCAGGCAGTGTAAGAATTTTGTTGAAGTTTCTTCTTTTTTTTTTCATGTGTGTGTCTTATAAAAAATTGTGTATATATATTTAGAGGTTGAGATTTATGATGAATTCCTTGGTTTAGTAAAAAGCATGATATTAAGATACAGTGTACATCAGATTGAGTCGGATGCAAGATTAATCCAGAATTCCAGACTAATCTCTAAATATTTTATTATATGTACCTTATGGTATTTTCTCAATATTTTACTTTGAAATGTTTAAGAAACTGTTTAATCCCCACCATTTTCCTTGTCTCACACTAAAGCCTTAAGATTTTAACATGTACTGAATAACTGATAGGAATAACATCAATTGGTTAATTAAAGTGACTTGTTGTCCTATGATTAAATGCTGCATGCTTTTATTATACTGAACATACATGTACCACTTTTAGCACTGTTTGCAGATAATTGAATAAACAGTAATGTAAAATAAGAATCAAATATAGGACTGTCACCATATATACAGGCTTTTTTCCCCAATTGACAACAAATACTTTGTTGAAAATTCCTAATTTAATCTTGAAAATTCCCAAAAAACAGTTAGATCTAGCTGGCTTTAATGATAAGTTCATAACTATGCATTATCAACTGAATAAAAAGTAATAAATGTTTATAAAATTTTCCCAATTTTTCAAGTAGCACATTGCCCTCATATGACCTTTACAATGTCTGTCTGACATAAAATAAGTACTAAAATTTTCCCAATTTAAACAGGATGGGCTGGCAGATGTGAGGAAATTATAGCTTATAATTATAGCGGTCCTAATTATAGTTAAATTATTTAAGTACATGTACTTTTAATAAACAACTGTAAAATATTTGAATTTTTTTATCTTGGACAATATATTTCTCTTTGACTTGCAATGTTTCAACACAGTGAAATTAACTCAAAAGAAAAAAATTGCTATTTCGACTTCATGTTATCAAATGCTAAATATTGAAGATTGAAAATGAACAACATTTTCTCAGAAGAAATCTGCACATGCTTCAGTATGGAGTGGCAATATGTTGTGTTAAATTTGAATTTAATGATTCTTTACAACCGATGCATAATATTTCCATTCATGCTTGCATAAAATTACGCCAGAGGGTGTTGTTTTAAAGGGAGAAAAATCCTTGAAAATGCTGCAACATTCTGATCTGAAGTGCCCTTAGGAAATTCCACTCTTAAATGAAAAGATCATATCCTAAACAGTAAAAAAAAGGCTGATCAAGATAGAAATCTCGACCTTCTGATAAAAATCATTTTGAAACCACCTCATATAACAGGTAATAGTCAGAATTGTGACATAGTGATTCAACATGTTTAGTCGAGCTTGACTAAGTTTAACACTCTATGTAATTCAGCTTTTAAAGTGTTAAAAAAACGTCAATCAATTATCAGTGTCCCCTTGTGCGGAAATTATTCAAAGGGGGCGAGGGACAGAAAGAAGAATCATTGTAATAATTCCTTGTAGTTGTATTTCGCATTGTGATTAATTATGAATTGGCTTGTGGAAAAAAAAGGCTTTTTTATGAATCACTGGGGAAAAAATCAATGTTGTTAATGATTAAATGAGTGCATTTTCTCCTTTGAAGTGCGCCATGTAAACATTTTATAGTGCAGGTTTAATTGATAGTGCATGTGCAGTTGAACACGCCTAATTATATCTTGAAATATGTATTTATTGTAGTTCTCTCGGGTTTTATTGCCCATAATTTTTTCTGAAGGATATATTTAGTGTTACATGTCAGTCCACTTTAAAATCAGAGCATCTATATTTCTCCAATTTTTTTTTTATTTCTTGTAAAGAGAAAACTTGTGACAGGAAATAAATAATTTCTAAATGCCATATATATGGTACCATATGGCCTTTTATCAGTATTATGTCCTACATGTTCTATTATTCTAAATATCCCAACAATGTGATCAATAAGCCCTATTCCCATTTTCATGATTGCTGCCAATCCTAGCTGGTAGTTATAAAATTCATAAAAAATTGTTGTGCATTAATGATAAATGTGAATATTGCCATTTTTTATTGGTCATTAAAACATTGATTGTTAAATGGCTGGTAAAAGTGCATGAATCCAGGAGAATGGCAAACATGCCCAAATGGGACTGTGCCCAAATTGTTAAACCTGGCTTCATTTGTCACATTTGCTACATTATTCATGAGTCATCGCTTAAATTACTGTTTAATTCCTAATCTTTTCTTAATTTGCGACAATTAAACGCTGGTAAATTTTCATCATTGCGCCGTATTATATGTATACTAGAGAAAATGTAATAAACAAGACACATATATATAAATAAACAGTAAAACCACCATGAAAACCTATCTTGTGGCTGCTAGCCAGGATATTAAAGAATGCCAGTCTATGATATAAATGTAACAAAGTTTCTGTATGTGAGGAGTTTTAGATCATCGAGATGGGTTGCACCTAAAACCAGCTTTGTTTGTTTGTGAATATAAAGAAGGGGAGGTAATTTGGCTCGAAGCATTTTTAGTGCTGTTACAAACTACAAAGGAGACACTGTGTAATAATGCAAACAGAATCTGTATGAAGAACATAATAAAAGTTGAAACAGCTTGTAATTCAAGAAATAAAGCTAGATAATTTATATATACATTGTACATGTACAAAACTTCAAGACTTGGTCATGTGATACATGTGGAGAAGTTGTCAATTTATTGTTAAGTAAACATTAAGTGAGTACTGTTTCAAGACTGGCTGATAGTATTTAATATATTCTGGGATTTTATTACTTAATAAAATAACAGGTTGCCAGGTTAAATTGCCAGCAATATGTTAGTTATGGGCCTCCTGGCTACTTGGGTACCCTATCCTCCTATAAGAAATAGTCTAGCTTTTCATAAATTTATTCAAACACCTGTATGCTGTTAAAAGAATTCTCTTTAAAGCAGGGTGCACTCTGCCCCATGTGATCAACTGGATTTGATTTACATGTAGGAGTAGGGCAATCAATTTGATTTGCGTGACCATTGGAACTAACTGCTGAATTTGACTTCTTTAGAAATTGATGCTTTTTTCTTAAACGAAAACATGAAATTAACAGTTGCTAATGTTATTTGGTTGTGTCACAAAAAATAAGAATTTCAATCATATAATCTTTGACACAAAAAATAAGAAATTCAATCACATTGTAGTCTTAATATTATAATGATAGGGAAGTTCATGGTCCTGACTTGGCCTCGTCCTTATGTACATGTACATCAGTCCTAATGTACTTTGTATGGTACTATGCACATCAAAAGTATGTATTGATTTGATAATGTTCAAGAGCCCAAACAGATTGAATAAGATTAATGCTTTTTTTTACTACCTAACAATTTTTTTTCTACCTGACTTGTCAGCTGAATATTTGATTTCAGTTTTTATTTGAGAAAATTCTTGTTTTCGACAAAAGCAGTCCTGTCGTAAAATCAGGACCGTGAAACGTAATTTAAAATAAGCTTGAAAAAAACTTATCTAAAATGCAGTACTGATTAAGCTAATGTGTATAATTATTTTTTTTGAGATGCGAAAAATGTTGATATTTTTTTCGCTTTGCATGATTAGCAATAATTTTACTTTTAGCACGAAATAAAATTCATATTAACCTTAAAAGAAATGTGGGCAGGATTTTTAGTTTTGGCCATATTTATTACAAAGCCTTTTTTTGATCCTATCTACATGACAATATATCTCATAAGATTGCAATAAAATTCTGTGAAGCTATCTTACCACTATGTTATTTTGTAATTACAATAATTTATTTCTTTCCTGTCGGCTCAGTGATATTAATATCATAAATACATGTATCGATCAAAGGGACATTAATTATTAGCTTCCTTGTAGATTCAATTAACGTTGGGTGTCCTTGAGTGCAATGAGTGCAGTTTTGATGACAGTCGTGTCATCTACGGATATTTCTTAATTCAAAATTTCATCTGTTGAATTCAGCTTGAACCACTGGTCTAGGGACATATGGGCGTTAGCTAAAAAATGCACTCACGACTTCCGTTAAAAAAAGATGTTCAATTAAATGAAGCCTGCAATGTTTTCTTTTTAAGTATTTTTAAGAAATTCCGTTGTTGTTAATTTTGCCATATAAGGCAATTTCTTACAGGATTCCTTTTTTTCTTCCCTAAGTTTTTCTCTTGAACCGTAACAGCCTTGCAATTAGCAAGAAGCTCTGCGACAGTAGAGCTTGACCCATAGAATTTTTGCATTTACTCATTATTAATCCATCCAATTTATAAAATACCATAGAATTTTGGCATTTTCTCTTTATTAAACCATCAAATTTATGAAATATTTTTATATGTTTTACAGGGCTCGCGTAAGGCAAGGTTTACGTATTACTGGCGCCAGAATGTTGGACCCTTCTAGTCAGTGGAGTATACAAGTTGATATTAAAGAGCACCAGAAAACTGGAACTGTGACAGCCTTCGTTAGAGATGCTAAAATATACAGGAAATCTATGAAGTAAGTGTGTCAACTAGAGTTTAGTAATGAATATAAAATTGTGGTTCTTGGAAAAAGGAGTAATTATTGATCTCTAGTTAAAAGGATGGTGTTAAAAAAAGATAATGCCTGAAAGTGGCTTGAACTTTAGACAGTTAATTGTGTGGGTTGCTAATTCTAGATTATCTAGGCCATATTTGGGACTTTTTGAAAAAACATAGGTTAAAAAATAAAAAGATTATAGGTGCTAAGTTATAATGTATGGAAATAAAGTATAGTGGTTTGTCATCAGGTTCAATAAAAAGTTCAGCAGTTGATACTTCAAAGTGTCAAAGCAATTCTTGCATAAAAATTTATCACAATTTAAAAAGAATAAAGTTTACAATACAACTTGTAAGCTTTAATTTAATTTTGGATGAGTAAACCAATTTTGAAGTGCTTGTGTTTTGGAAGAGAGAAAAAAAAGTTGTGATTGATTGCATGAACGTTGTTTGAAATTACATTTTTGTAGCTCTGACTATTTACTGGAGTTAGCTGGCTGTTTTTAGATATACTATAAGACAAATAAAGGCATTCTCGCCTGTCTTTTCCCATTTACATGTAATTTGTTTTACCTTGTTGCCTCTAACACAGAGAGACGCTGATTAACCATTGATTGAATGTGGGCGCCATTTTTGTACAATCAACTTTCAATTGTATTTTCTCCCAGAAAATAGGTCCTACTGTACAGCATGACATGTTTGCTGGAAGGGTTTTTTGAGTGGCGGCAAATGGTCGTCACTAATAGTGTTAATATAATAGTCACACTAAATGTTGGTCTATTGCAATAAAACAAAAAAGCGTGCGAAGGAATGGTAAAAAAAAATAAAACAACTATTCATTTGAAAATAGATTTCTGGATGATTTTCAGCCCAATTCAAGTTGAAGAAAGCTTTTTAAATTTGGGATATTCGATGATGAACGGTCCAAAATTTTGCACACACCTGTTTAGTCTAGACCTGTATCAAATGGTACATGAGTCTGAAAAAAAAAATTGCAGTCCCTACATGTAAAAAAAACCTTTAACATTAAGTCATGACTTAAATCTCTGGTTTATATTTAAAAAAAATAGAAAAAAAGCTCTAAAATACAAAAAATAAAATTCCATTTTAACTTCAGTACCAGCATAAAATTTTATCATACATGCCGTGTACAAAATTATATGATTGCTTAGAATCATAAAGTTACAAAATTAATCCAGATACTCTGGAACAGCAGTTTATGGGACACATTTTCAGCATGAATAATAAATGAACTTTTCTTTTGAATACTTTAGAAGGATAATAGGTGGCATAGCTCCAATAAAGAACGGCTAATTAGACTTGACTCAACATGGTAAATATTTGTTGAGCAGAGAAACTAAATTAGGAGCAATTTACGGCCATGTAAAATGATGTTTAGATGCATTTGGAGAGAAAAAAGTGCTTTAACAGAGTCTTTTCCTGATAGACTTATTGGCTCTGAATTTAACCCAGTGCTTGTTATTTAAAAAAAAATGTTTATAGCAATTTCAAATGAATGTTAAAAAGTGTAAACATTCATTTCATCTGCCTTGTTCATTTGATGTTGAAATTGGCCATCAGAGTTCAATGGTTTGTGAATAGAGATGTTGGCAGAATTTGGTGATGAAAGTGAACTATTTGAGGCTTGATTGAGAACACAGTTTAAAAGCCTTAAGTCCAGGTGTTAAACAGTCTAATAACTCTATGCCTTAGATGCTACAACACTTACCAGGCCCTGATCAAGGTTTTTTAATTTTTGTAAAATTTGTACAAGTAGAAATGCATATTCCAGAGGGGGTTTGGTGTTTTTCTAGTCTTCCTGAGGGCCCATGAAATAGTTATCCAGAAGTGTCACAAGTCAAATTTTTCAGAGTAGTTATGAGACAAATTTTTGTGTAAATTCCAATTGTTTTTGCATGATTTTCACTAAAATATGCTAAAATGATATCAAAATTTTATAGGAGTTTGGCATACACAAGCAGATTCAGATTGTGGGTGTGAGGTGACCATGACCCTGCCCCCCCCCCCCCCCCTTCCAAACAAATATATTATTATTCAAATTTTACCTCACATTTGATATATACGAAAACCTTTGAAAAAGAAACCATGAACAGTATAATGAAATTTATAAGAACTATTTGATGTTCAAGAGCCCAAACAGATTGAATAAGACTGATTAATGCTTGAATAAGATATATGTCATAGTAAAAAGATACAAATTTATCTGTAACTATCATAAATATAAATGTATTTTTCTGTGAAACCTTTCCCTGATAAAAGTGTAGCATTGTTTGAAATACTGCTAAAAATCTATCACAGAGATCTCACTGTGCTGTGTAAAACATCAGAAAAAATGAGATCATATCTTTTTGATATGCCTAATTTATTGTGGAATGCTTTTGAAAGTATTGCTTTCCCACTTACTCTGGCTTGGAGATGTTGTAAGAATTTTGGTTTTCGTTTTATTCATTTTGCCAAAAAGCTTGACTGATATAGCAACTGCAGCTGTCAGGTACCCAATCTTGGGCTGTACTTTCTCTTTACCAGCAGGTGTTGATGGAATAATAACAAAACAAAAACTGATTCATGTATGATTTTAATTGTATTTTAATGTTGTTATTGATTATGAAGATTTTGGTGGTGTGGGTGATGGTGGTATTTGATGATTGTGATTAATATGGTTGATGATAGTGCTGGTGATGATGATGATAATAATTATGATGGTGATGTTGTTGCTGCTGCTGTTGGTGGTGATGATGATGATGATGATGGTAATAATGATGGTGGTGATGATGATGATGATAATAATGATGATGGTGGTGATGATGATAATAATGATGGTGGTAATAAAAAAGATGATGATGAAACAAAATAGTAATGATAATAATCATAATGAAGATGATGATAATAATGATGGTGGTGATGATGATAATAATAATGGTGGTGATGATGATAATAATGATGGTGGTGATGATGATAATAATGATGGTGGTGATGATGATAATAATGATGGTGGTGATGATGATAATAATGATGGTGGTGATGATGATGGTGGTGATGATGATAATAATGATGGTGGTGATGATGATAATAATGATGGTGGTGATGATGATAATAATAATGGTGGTGATGATGATAATAATGATGGTGGTGATGATGATAATAATGATGGTGGTGATGATGATAATAATAATGGTGGTGATGATGATAATAATGATGGTGGTGATGATGATGATGATGGTGGTGATGATGATGATGGTGATGATGATAATAATGATGGTGGTGATGATGATGATGATGGTGGTGGTGATGATGATGATGATAACAATGATGATGGTAGTGGTTATGAAGATGATTATGATGATTGTAGTGTTATTGTTGTTGCTGCTGCTGATAATGATCATGTAGTACATTTAGTGCTTCTACAGCAGGCCTTATTAAGCCCCCTTTTTAATATTTTAAGTACTAGCAGATGATATTATTTAATGTGTTTGATGATATTGATAAAAAAATTCATAATTTTATATTTGCAGTAAAATGACTATGAAATCATATTGAAATAAAGTTAGGAAACCTTGTTCATCAAATATAAAAGAAGAATATTTTATATTGATAAGACATAGATATAAAATGATAATGTGTTGAAAAGACTGTAAATCATCTTTAACCTTTATATGACCTATCTTACTGTAGGTTAATATAGAAGATAAAACACCTTTAGCAAACTTGATTTACAAGCCATTGGGTTTATCAAAATCTTAATAATATTAAATATATTTATAATATATAGGTGGAAATATATTAAACCAACAAAATTTCTGTATGATAATTCAGCTGAAAAATACATTTACAAAAATTTTAATAGGAAGAGGTATATATGAGACATCAAGTTATTAATGGAATTGGATTAATGTAAATGTCGCAACTTAGCCGCATAGCGTTTTAGTTTGATTCCCGATAAACGTTAAAATATCTATTCTTGCCAAATGGGCTTATTATATTAACATATTCACCAAGTTGTCACTGTACGTTTTTGTTCCTACCATGAGAGTTAAGGTGGACTTTGCTGAGTTTCAGAGTATCTCTGATATGCTATTATGATTAAAACAACATTTAAAATGTTTCTAGAAACTTTTTTGGCCAATATTATGTCTTGATGTTTAAAACGTTTCTTCAAGAGAAAAAAAGAAAGTATTTTTTTCCTGAAGATGTAAGTCTGATTTTTTTCTGAGGAAATCTGGCTAAGATTCTGACTTCAAACACTGTATAACATTATTGTAGTGTACTGTGTGTATGTGAGAGAGATGGGAGGTAGTGGAATCAGCCTCAGATGTTTTATTAATTGCTCTAACAAACTCAGTCTGTCTTGCACATTTACTTTATGTCTATCTTTAATAGCCGAAGGCTTGATTGTTATCCATAGATTTTTCACAGTCTTTATTTGTTGTTAATAGAAAGCTAGTAAATGTTTTGATATAGTTGATCATTTTCAATGATATCTTTTTTTAGGCGAAATTTACGAAATTTGCCAAAATTCACGAAATTCCAATTTAAATTCCAAGCCTGTATGATCGTTTGAAATTTGTACCACATCGAAAAGCATCGCGTAATTTAAATAAAGTATTATAAATTTTAAATGCTCAATAAATTTAAAAAATACAAATCGATAATGATATATATAACTGTAATAAATTTGAGCAACTGCTATAATATGTATTGAAATATATTGGAAGTAAGATAATGTGATGTTTTTATTATTTGAAATAGCAATTTTAAGATTAGCGATTACTGATGTTATTTTCTGGCAGCCGCAGTGATAGTAAATTCTGAAGTACTTGATAAATTTGATTTCGGGTATTGCAAGAATTTTTAGTAACATTTTTTTTTTTTGTATTTTAATATTGAAATCGTTTAAAGTTTAACCTAAAATTGATTGCTCCAAGTTCTATGCTGGGCAAATCCAGTTCACAAATTTATCTT